CCATGAAGTCAACAAATGACCAAAACAAAAGCTCTTGTGTTCGCCTGAGGCATAGTGAGAAGAAGGTCAGCACCCAGAAGTATCCCTAAACTCAACCTAATTATGTTTTGTTTAGGGTTTGACTCCTGGCAGATGGGTCAACCAGCCTTTGATGCCTTCATCCGGACAGAGTGCTTCCTTAGCATCACGTTTACAAGGCCTAACTGAACCCCTGTTGGTTTATGATACTTTATATTTAGCGCAAATAAGCATGAATAGTTTTTTCTTTTTTTTTTACGAGGTACCATAAATTGTCTTGTGCAAAGAGCGGACTGCAGTTCATGTGTGACGCTTCTGTGGTTCCATCAGGCCAACACAAGCCTTTGTGTTCACACTGTTTGCCATGGGAAAATATCTGAAACAAATAAGTTGCCTAGTTGGTACCCATCGGGGCAAAAAAAACACTTCTTAAAGCTGTGGATTGTGCTTTGAGGGTGTGGTGCAGCTCTAAAGGAACTACTTGTTTATCCCTGCCGTGTCTGAAAATGAGAAAGGAACTATTTTCTTTCCAAAATGGAAGGCAAATAAACAAGTATTCATGTGTAGACAATGAGGGCAGGCTAAAGTGCTGCTGCAAGCTCAAAGTGGCATGAGAGGGAGAGGAGGTGATGATCCTTAAAACCAGTGCCATGGCTTTTTTTTTTTATAACTAATAATAATCATTTTAAAGGCAACAAAGAGCTTAGTAAATGCTGTTTTTTTCTTTAATCAAGGCATGTATTTTAATTTCTTTATTTCTAGTCACAGTGACTTACAAAAAGTATCAGTAACCCTTGAATATTTTGCTACATTACCACATTAATGTTCTCTGTATTTTATATGATATACCAATGCAAAGTAATGTTTAATCAATGGTTTGCATATTTTTTGACAAGCAGAAGCTGATATGCATTGTGCATATAATAAGGATTATATGCACTGTACTGTATATACATGCATATCTCAATACTCTGCTGAACTACCTTTTATAGCTACAGCCAGCATTCATTGCAGAATTTGCATATTTTTATGTCTTTTTTATTCCGTCCTCTACACTGCATCTCTTAAAATATATATAAAAAAGAACCACCCTCTCTACTTTTAAAGAAAATGCACATGCACAACCCTGTACCGGCTCTCGAGAGGGAATAGCTTTTAAATGCGTGCAAGAGCGTGCACAAGCCCATTTCTCCTCGTGCAAGCTCTATTTAAAAGTTTCTATTTGCATCGTTCATATAAGCTTACTTCCAAAAGAAGATTTGTAATTTTTCCGCTATGTCAGACTCACCACCCGTAGGTGAAAATGGAGATGAGCAGGTAGGACGGCCTTACATAAACATATCACTTATTTTGATGATCCACCGAGAAAAAGAATATCCTCCACTATACCTTTAAACGACAAAGCTTACAGCCCATAAATTCTGCAAAGTCTTTTTACTTTGGTGACCTTGAAGATTATCAAATTATTACTAAACCATTTAATTGCAGCTTTGGGTTTCTGTTTAGGGTCACTATCATGTTGAAATGTCTACTAGCCTCCAACTTGTTTTCCTCCATTGTTGCTCTGTATTGACCTTTATCTGTCTCTGCAAAAAACTCCAGGAGTGACTCACTGCAGAGGCGGTGCGCCACCAATTTTACAATCAGTGCTTAGCACACACCTAAAGTCTGTCTCAGTAGGAGTTTAATGAAGTCTTATTAGAGCCACTTACCTTTGGTTTAGGTTCCTCATGCAACAATGTTAGGATTAGCGTTAGCACTTAGGGTAGGGAATTAAACAAAGGTATTCAGTTAGACTTTGGTGAAAAAAATTCCATGAAATTAAGGTTTGTGTTTCTGCCAAACCTTCTGATTGTAAGCTTTTTTTGTGTGTCACAAAACTTTATTAGCAAAAATAAAGATCCAGCCAACAAAGAACAGTGTTTAAACATCTTTAACAATAGACATATGTGTAAAATAATAGCTTGTAAATTGTAGAGGTGATCGATACCGGGAATTTTCCTTGGCCTCGACCCAATACCAAGGAAATAAAGGGTCGCTATCGTCAACATTGATGCTGACACTTTTTTATAGTTAAGGTTGATGTTTCATGAAACTGTTGACCTTTAGGTGCTTTTTTTTACTTTTACTTTATTATTACAATTAAAACAATTAAACATTAGCCAAACAAAGTTTTAAAGCTATTTAAAACAAAACAAAATTAGCACAACACAATAAATTTTGCTTGTTTGGCTGCTATAACTGAGCCTCATGATGGTGCAATATGATGGCAGGAGAGGAGGGTGAGCGGCGAAGTGCTGTGACACAAACAGGAAAAAAAGTATTGATATTTTCAATGGAGAGTTATTCAATATCAGTACCAGTGTTGGGAACGATGTCAGTGATTTGAGGATCGAACCGAGAAACTGAGAATACTTTAAAAATTTGAAATCCCTTAAGTTTTGGATTAAAATAATTTAATTAAAGATTTAAAAATCCAATAATGATTCGTAGTAGAGCGCCTCTCATAAACTCTGACCAGCTGCAGCTTTCCTACCAGATAAAAAAAGAATCTCCACAGCATGTTGCTGCCACAGCCATGTTTCACAAATGGGTGACGTTGTCAGGGTGATGTTCTTTTCTGTTTTTGAGCCATACTTTTAGAGCCAAGTTACATGCAGGCAAGAAAGTTCAGGATTGTAGCATTTCACCACCGAATCTCCTTTTACATGTTTTCTCCACCATCCGTGATTTTCCTCTTCTCTGTTCGCTTTGCTAATTTTTGTGTTGTCTACCATTTGCAAACTGCAAATGGGATTTTTCTCTGCTGTTCCTTCAGCAATTAGTCTTTTTACAAGCATTTCTTGTGGAGTCTCTCTGAACAGATTCTACTGAATAAGCAATATATCAAGCAAACTACTATGGTCAAAGGACATCTTGGCTAATTGCCTTATTAATACTCTCCTTACCTGACCTGGATAGCCATATCTAGCCACGTTTTCTATATCCATTTTTAAACAATGAACTGAAAAGGAATTGTTTAAAGTTTTGGATATAATTTTATGACCTAATCCTGCTTTAAACTGCATCTTGATTTTATCTCTCCGCGCTCTGATGTTTTTCCTTTGTTTGCCATGATGTTTGTTCTTTAAGTTTTCCTAACGAACCTCTCAGCTTTCACTTCAGCTTTTTGAATTTACTCTGAATTCTCTTTTAATTTGTGGATTTTATTATTTGGGGTCAGAAGGCAATAGGTTGCGTTACATGAAATCATGTTGCAGAATTTTCTGATTTTGATTTGAAAAAAACAAAACTTAAAGAATAAAGAAAAACTACTAAACAGTGTGAACCCTCGTTATTTCCATTAATAAATATGCACACATATTTTCTGGTCCTTCCCCTACTATCCAAATACAAGCTATAAAGTTTTTATTTAATACACTACTGATACCGCCAGGGACATGCTCAGGCTGCAGCGTATCATTCGGTCTGAAGGGAGGGTTATTGGCTGCAGTCTTCCTTCACTTCTTGTGCTCTACTGTATACCTCCGGAGCTCTGAGACGAGCAGGAAAAATTGCAGCTGACCCCTCCCAACCTGGCAAAAACCATTCTAGACTCTTCCATCAGACAGGAGGCAAAGGTCCATCAGAAGCAAAGCCACCCACCACAAAGACAGTATCTTCCCACTTTCCACTAGCCTCATTAAAAAGGATCAAGTGCCATACTGACACATCACCCTTGTAAATAATACAAAAATGACAGCCCATGTAAATACATATCATTGCTGTATATTTTTAGTTTCTACCAAAATGCTCCTTCTCCTTCCCTTCATATCCCTATATAGTATAATGTATATTTGTTTGTTCAACATTTCATATGTCCAAATGTATTTATGTTAACTGCATGTTTATCTTTATGATAAAACCTTATCACCAAAAGCAAATTTCTTGTTCATGTAGCACGCGACTTGGTGGTATGCCTCTGATTTATGACTCTGATCATCAAAGCTGAGTAAATAAATAACTAAATTAATAAACTTTTAAAACATATGATCTGCTTTATATGGTGGTGTGGTCTTCATTCCAGCTAATTGCTTACTGGAAGCAAACGAAACCCAACAACATGGCATGTGAAAACCTGCATGTTTGTAATTATGTTGCACCATTCAGTCACAGCTTGACTTTTTTTTTTTTTTTTAGGAACATTTGTAAACATTTCCGAAGCAACTTCCATAGTTTTTAAAATGTGTTTCTGTTTTACTTGATGGAACATTTCACTCTCTTATTTCTCTTTCTTCCTACCCCAGATGTGCAAAATATTTTCCTCGGGCTGCAGACAAATCAATTTAGCATCCATAACTACTGTAGATAGTGCAGTTTATTTCCAACTAATATTTTCAACCACTCGCAGCGTTATTGCTCAGTCGAGTAATATTATTTAGTTGGACACTATGACAGAGACAGAACTAAAACCACTAAAACTAAAGTAAAGAAATAGAAACATGGCAAAAGAGGTGGAATTAAGATAAGAAAGGAAGAGGATTATACAAGGTACAAAAATCAGTATTAAATAGAATAATTAATGACAGAAACAGAAGGGAAGAAGTAATAATGATCAGATTACCTATCATACCTATTCAAATTTCAATTAATATTTAATAGGGAGGAAAGATAATGATAAATGTGAAGGATGTGGAGAAAAATAAAATGTAAAACTTGTACTGATGAACTGTAAAACTTATGAACATGAAAGGGAGAAATTACGAAGGATGGTTGAAAGGACAGGCCAAAAATGAAGTCTTAAAGGAATATTGGAAAATGAAGGAAATATAAAGTATATTCACAGATTAAGGAAGGCATTATTTATTTATCTTCAGAAAACAAAATAAAAAATAGAATTTGATGTAAGGTAATGTTGCTGCACACTCATGTACAGTAGGTGGCGGTATGCACCTTAAAGTTGCTTGCGATCCTCCATAATAGAAAAGAAGAAGGAGAAGAACCACTAAAACTAATTTCTAATGTTTATTATTGTCAGATGTTTCCAAAGAGAAGGCGGTGATGGAGCGCTGAAAATAACGGGACCCGCGCTCGGTGAAATGATTGGACGAACAGAATGCCGTCATTGCTAAGCGAAAGCGGAAGTCCTCTCCTCAGTAGGCATGGGACAATGAACCCTTGCCAGATACTGTGTTTCTCTCGCGACTAGGGTTATTTTGGAGTCTTATCGAATATAAAGGTAACCGTATCACAGAAAGATGATAACTTTCTTTAGTAAAATGCGTAGAGACAGTTCTTCCTAAACCGTGTTGTGTCTCTCGATGGAGTATTAGCAGCTAGCTCCTAAGTGCTAGCTGCACAGGCTATCGTGTTAGCAAACAGTGCTGAACGGTTAATGTTTTAACTGGCAACAATATTGAATTTGAAGGTAGTTAACATAGTTAAACGCGTATTACAAATATTTATTGGTTTGGTTAAAACATGTTCTGGGTCTGTTGCCTTAAGTTAATGTCAGTTATTGATAGCTTTCAGACAATATTCATGGTTTTTACTGTAGGGTTTGTTTCTCTTCCTGTTAGGGACACCGAAACCATGGAGGTTCCCTGTTATCTGTCCAAACTGATGTTTGAGCTCAATGAACAGCGAAAGCGAGACTTCTTCTGTGATTGCAGCATCCTGGTGGAGGGGCGTGTTTTTAAAGCCCACCGGAATGTGCTATTTGCTGGTAGCGGCTATTTCCGGGCTCTCCTGGTTCACTACCTGCAGGTGAGGATATATAAACCATAGATGATACCCATCTATAGAAATTGTGGTGGCCCGGGGGGTTGGAGACGAGGTGAGGACAGGGAGGAGGCTAGTCTGAGGGGAGTCAAACCGGGTGAACTGGTTTGACAAGTGCAGTGCTCTAACCACTAGGCTACATGTTTATGAATGAAATAAAATCTAGACATTTAAATAGGAATAACATTTAGAGATGTCTTAAAAATATGCTATTGATATTTTCAACTAACTTTAGATTCCCCCCCAAAATTAAAAGCAATCCACTGGACTTGGTTTCTGAGTTTTTTTTTTTTTATGACTTTAGTGAGACAATTTTTATGCTTTTTACATTTTCTTCGTTAAACTACTTCTCTTACGTCATCAGACATGCTCAGTGCAATCTGGCAAAATATGATTAAACCATGTTTCTCTGCATTTTAGTTGTTGTTTTTTTCTTTTGATTGCGCACTATATAGCATAAGGTTAAAATGAAATGAAAACATAAAACTCAAAAAGACTAGATTTATTTTTAAATCCAAAGCCATGAAAGTTTGCCGCCGGAAGTAGTGTAGGATCCCATTTCTGGTGCAGATCGGGTGGAGACAAGTGATGAAACAGAAAGGATTTTAAGGAATTTATTTTCTCAGGAAATACATTATTAACCTTAAACACATTATATTTTATTACGTTTACTATTTTTGGGGAGGGAAAAGTCATTGAGGTATTTTTAACAAAATAAAGTCGAGGACAAGCCGAATGCATATCTGGATGCGCAAATGAGCTGATGGTGCATGCGCAGAACGGATCGTGCTCCCGGTACGGATCCGGTAGTGACAAATGGGTCCGCCACTTAATAATAGGGGCTGTTGGGGTTCTTTCATAGCCTGTAATACCCGATACCTGTCTATGTCTCTGAAACAGGGGTTGTTAGAGGGAATTGTTGGCCTGGCTGAACAGACGAGTTTCTGTTTCCCTGTATGAGAGTTGCGATCATAGTGGGAAGGAATCCAATCTATCGCTGCATTGTAGGTTTTTGAAAGGTGAAATCTGGGTCCACCCCCTCTGTTTAAGGTTTTTTCTTTCTTAGCTTTCTTAAGCTTCCTGGATAGTAAGCGAAACGTCTTCAAACTTGACTGAGAATCTTCACCAGCAAACTGTAGATTAATTTATTGACCTTTTAGGCTTTAAATGTGTCAATGATTTATTTAATGATTTATAATTCTAATCTCTTTATGTATTCATCTCTTTCAGGTCCACGTTGCTTTAAAACATCCATGCAACCGTTATGTTTTTCCTTTATCTTTCTCTAAATGACACACTTATCTATTGTGTCTTTTTGAGTCAGTGTTCAGTCCTATTATATTTTAGTGTGTAATTGAATCTTACAGAGCTTTAAATAGGTACACAGTATACATTTTTACACTGCTGTCTCAGATATGATAACAGTGATGTTCTTTTTTAAGTTGTTTTTAAGTCTGGAACATCTTTTCTCAGGACAACGGACAGCGCTACAGCACAGCCTCGTTGGACATCGTAACAGCCGATGCCTTCTCCGCCATCCTTGATTTCCTCTACTCTGGTCGCTTGGCTCTTAACAGCAACAATGTCATAGAGGTGATGTCAGCAGCTAGCTACCTGCAAATGACTGACCTGGTGAACTTCTGTAAGGAGTACATCCACTCCTCTTTGGAGATCTGCAACAAGGAGAGGGAGAAGAGCATGCAGAAAGAGAACAAGTCGGACAATGGAGCGATCGGACCTGCAGACAGTGGAACTCCTTCTTTAACCATCTCAGGTGGTGAAGGTGTAGCAGGGACAAGTTCAGAGGCTGCGGAGGTGGATGGAGGGTCGAGCTTAGGTCCCGAAGCTGGGACCTCATCTAGGACCGCGTTGTCCACGGGTGTCGCCATCCCTGCAGGCTCCAGTAAAAACATGGACAGTGCCTACTCCTCTAGGGAGGGGTTCACCTCTGGCAGTGAAGAACAAAAGGGCCACATGGATCAGACCAATCTCTCCTCCTCCTCCTCGTCTGCCTTGACTCCAGAGTTGGTGAACCCGAAAATAGAGTATGATCCCGATGAGGAACTGGTAGAGTCCCCAGACACCAAAGACCTTGCCTCTTATCCTGGGCCCCCTCTACATGGTTCACACCACAGCAGGTTACATCTCCAAAGTCCCTCAGTCTCCAATGAGCGCTCCTCTTTAGGATACAGCCCTTCATTTAATGCCCGACAGCTGATGGAGATCCTATCCAGAGGGGATGCTCCCCGGGGCCCCAGTCCCCAGGGGGACAGGGCAGGTCAGCGCTTCGCCCAAGGACTCGGAGGCAGCACAGCAGGAAGCAGAATGGATGAAAGTTTAGGCTTTGTTGGGTCATCTATCATGGAGATCCAGTCCGATTGGCTCAGCGAGGATACAGGTAAATACCTCAGTCAGTCTAGCTCTATAGCATCTTTATGTCCCAGTCAAATAACGTAAATTTTATAACGGCAGGAAGGGATATATTGGTTTGTTTTTCCTTCCCCTGTAGGTGATGGCTTGGTCGTGCCAGTTAAACTCCATAAGTGTCCTTTCTGTCCATACACTGCCAAGCAGAAAGGAATCATGAAGAGACACATTCGCTGCCACACAGGAGAGAGGCCTTTCCCCTGTCCCATGTGTGGCAAGAGGTTTACACGGCAGGAGCATCTCCGCACCCACGCCCTTAGTGTGAGAGCCAAGTTTCTGTCTGTCTGTCCTGTGTCTTAGTTCCACAGATGCTACACAGATTAACTCCTTTACCCTGAGTTCTTTGGTAGAACAGTGGTGATCTTGGAAGTTTGCTCTGGGTTCTTATCACATTTAAATGCTATCTTAAGAGCTTCTTTTGAATGAATGGGACCATTCTTTGCTCCAGTGTGTAAAAATACGTTTGCATCCATGGTCCATTTTATTTGTTCTCAGATTGAAGCATAGCACACTGTTCCATTATATTGTGTGGGCGATACAGGCTACAGATGCAGTGTGGCATACAGTTTGAACACTGATAGCCCCCCTCTGCCTCTGCAGCAATACTGGCAGATCTCGTTTGTAGCTTTTCAAGGGAGATCTGTAGATATAGTGCTGCCTAAGTAGGAACTTTCTACCACGGTAACATTAAAAGGACACCTTTAAGTTTTAGCCTTTAGCTGAGATGCAGTTACGTTTTTATGCGCAACATTCCTCTTAACTGATCTAAATCTTGGTTTATCAGAAATTTAAAATCTGTTTACATGAACACTAATTAAAATGATCTGATCATGACCTTGTCATGTATCCATGTACCAAACATTTGATCAGATTAAATAATTTAAGTATGCACAGAACTTCCTAGTTTTCCGGAAATTAATTAGTAGTAGAAGAAGAAGCTCTCTCTTTTGAAAACAAACCCGTACTTTTCCACTTATCCTCAACTTTAGCTGTACTTTGGGCCTGCCTGCCACATTTCTTTTACTTTAGTTATTAAGTTCGTGTCTGTTGATGTAGTTTTTTTTCTATATGGACATTCATTGTGACTGCCGACCTGTCCAGGGTGTACCCCCCTCTCACCCGTAGACAGCTGGAGCTGCACCAGCACCCCTCACGACCCCACTTGGGATTAAGCGTGTCAGAAAAAAATGGATAGATGGACATTCATCGCATCATACTTTTGTCATTGGTGCTCATTTTAGTTAAAAGCTCATCAGTACCTTACGCTAACACTCCTTTGCTACAGGAGTAGAGGCAGGATGGCATGTTCATCCCAATGGGTGTGTACATGGACACCAATCCAAAAGGCGTTAGGAAAAAAAAAACACTTATCTTACAGAATAAAATTTCTTTCCAATCAGGCCAAATCAATTATAATCTTCAGTCTGCCATGTTTACATGACACAGTTTCAATCTGACCGTTTGTTTTCATGTAAAGGTAGTTGGTGTCCCTACCGTCACCGAGCCTCCTGCTCTGAGAAACAGCCAGTAACATACCAGAGAGAAAGTATTTCCGTATGAGGGCACAAATAATCAGAGGTTTTTTAGCTAAAAGAACTATGCATGTGTTTTATTAAACTAATATAACGATTTTAATACCTTAAGGAGATGTGTCAGACCGTTTAAATGGAAAAATTAAAACTCATTAAATGTGATTACCTGTAGTATTAAAATACAAGTGAAATTTTTTGTCAAGTGAAATAACACGTGGAACCACTTTGAAAACTGTTTCTGGTCATTTGTAAAGCTTGGAAGGAAGGGTGGCTCATAGAGGTGGAGAAAAGCCACTGAATGAGAAAATACAAATTCTGAAATAGAAATTACTTGTAATGGAGGAATTTAGGAGATGGCTGCTGCCTGTTGATGGGAAAGATTGGGAAGGATTTTATAGTGTTTGTAAAAGAACAAATTAAGCTTGGTTCGGTGGCTGTCAAAGCTTGTGAGGAGATACTCAAAGTGCTTCTTACAAAAACGCCTGACATCTGTAGCCTCAGCCAGGACAGGATATACCTTGATAAACAATGCCAGAAAAGAGAGAAAATAATTTTTGGAATTAAGAGAAAAGCTTTAGAAAACCGATCAAGAAGAAAGAAATGTTGGCGGCGGCCTTCAGATGGATCAAATCTAGCGCACTTATGGCTCAAAAGATAAGCATATCTAATATTCAAAGAAAACGGTAGAAGGACAGATTCAGTAAACTAAAATCAAGCTTTAACCAAATATTTTGTTATCGATGTACCATATTCTGCAGCATTTATCATTCTGTGTAGTTTTTGCAGCAGGTGTTTTGTCTTTTCGTTGTACTGAATCTTAAATTAATCTTCTCAAGGCACTTTAAAATACATCGACTTTCCAGAGTTCGTCTTTACATATTTAGCTGAACTGTCATGGCTTCTCCTTGATGGCAAAAAAAAAAATGTTTTAAAAAGCTTTACAAAGCATTAAATCATATTTACTCATTTCTGCAGTAACCCTGATTATCTTCTAATAGTTTTGGTGTTATTCATGTAGAGCAGGGGTGTCAAACTGGTTCCAGAAAGGGCCGTGTGGCTGCATGTTTTCTTTCCAACCAAGTATTAGCACACAAGACTCCATTCATCTCATCAAGGGAGTCCAATCTGAGCATGATGACTTGATGATATGAATGGATCTGGTGTGCTATTGCTTGGTTGGAAAGAAAACCTGCAGCCACACAGCCCTTTCTGGAACAACTTTGACACCTGTGATGTAGAGCAACCATTCTTTTTTAGATCTTCAGACACCTCTTTGCCATTCGGTGCCAGGTTGAGCTTTTAGTGACCAGCATGTGTGCGATAACTCGACGGGTAAATGGGGAGTAATTTGGTTGTTTTCAGATAGAGGTGTACTCACTTCTGTTGCAGTTAAGCATTTATCCCTTTGTGTCGTGTTATTTCTGGGTGAAGGAGCTGTTATATTTGTCCTAGACATAGTTTGTTGCCTCCTAAGCAGCATTTAATTCCTTTTTCCTAATTTCTTTTTTACTATTTTTTTCTTGAGTTGTTTTTTTAAATCAAGGTAAACTCCATCCTCCCACAAGCAATCTCTCACAAAGCGCATATATTCCAATAGTAACATCAGATAACACATGAATCCCTCCTGCAAAGACATTTCCTTGCTTTCTGTACAGCGCTGCATAGAATCCGCATCAATGATGATCAGCAATCATCTCAAAAGTTTAAAAGCATTAATTCATACCAACTGTCCAAATAAAACCCACTGTGTGTTCGGTCACAGGTTCACAGGCACTACTGGCCAGTATCGTGCAAGAGCTGCAGGCGAACCTTCACCGGGTCGGGCGTTTCCCCTGGATTGAAGCGCTTCAGCATCTGCGACAGCTGCAACTGCGTGACCACCACTCACGAGGACTCTGCGCCTGTGGACCCCTCGAGCCAGCAGGAGCCCATGGTGCGTACGGACGGAACCACAGACTGGTCGAGCTTTATGGACGATGTGGACGAGGTGGAGGTGGGCAGAGTGGAGGACCTGGTGGAGAAACAGATAATGGAGAGACAGTTGGCCGAGTGCTCGGATGTCAGTCATACACTGTGAATTCACCGAAACAGAGCCTCACATCATATCTGTGAGGTTATTAATTTATTCTCTCATTCGGGTCCAGATTATTCTGTCCAGAGCTGCCTGCCATTGTGTGCCAGTGGTTTGTCAGATGCAGGAAACTTGCAGCAACTGTTCAGATGTTACTACATTTCAAAGATGTATAATGCAAACAGAAAGTATTCACACCTCTCCACTTTTTCCATATTTATGCTGAATGTGTTCCCATGATCATCACAGTTGGGTAGTGTCGTTCGCTTAACATCCTACCAGCAAATCGCATGGCGGGTAACAGAGCTCCACCCCTGTCCCTTCACCATCAGGTAGAAGGAGCTAATGTCTGCGGCTTGTCAGATTAAACTTAGCTTTGCAAATCTGGATTTTACAAAGCGGCGCCAAAATATTAAATCTTCCAGTGCGGGGAGTCCAGGAGCTACAGCTGGATAAGGGTTGCTTCTGACCAGGACAAAACTGTTCCGCTTTGGGGGAATCACAAGAGGAGGGCAAAGGATTTGACAATTCTTTAAGGGATAAATGAAAATTGCTTTTTCAAAAGCTACCCACAAACCTCTTAAAGTCATAGGAAAATCCTATTTAAATGTCAAATCATTCTGGCTTAAACATGCATATAAATGTAGTCTTTATCAGATTATATTGTCCCAAAATTTAGAAAATTTCTATTTAAAAAAAATCCTGTCTTAATATCTTTTTTAAAATGTATTTATTTTTTTGTTATCTTATGCCGGTATGCAGGCCAGTTAGTTATACATCAGCCTGAACACCTAAATTCGGCCAATCAAATATCAACGGTCATCTGTCAATCAAATTTTTCTGATCATAGCATCTTGATTCATATGTCGCAGCTAATATACGCAACGGTTGAAAGAAGAAATAAGAATCATTTACTTCCCCATTGAGTTCCGTCCCAGTGTTCATGGGGATGGATGTCTGTGTCTTCAGAGGGTGTAGAGATGACAGAACTGGCAGCGTTGCGAGCTTCTGCCGCCCTGGCATCCTCTTTCGCAACATCTTCGTCCCTGCTTTCCTCCTCTAAATAAAAAACGTATGACAGAGGAGACTCATCCACGACCTCCAACACAAAACTCTCCTCCTCTTGCATGTTTCCTCTGTTCATAGCGTTCCTTGACAGTGTCGATTCTAAGTCACCAATTTAGTGCTACTTGGTCCCAATGGAATTTGCCATTGGAACCTACTAGCACTAAATTGCTAACTGGTTAGCAAGATGCTTCAGAGAAACCGGTCACAATCAAACTTGCTTGCGAACCTTCCGCCACGACAATCCCGCCCCCTTGAAATGCAACGGTTGGAACGGCCATTTCCCTACGAGCATTTCTTACTTCATCCTTTGTCTATATTAGGGCTGAAACAATTAAATTGATTAATGATTAATCTATTGTCAACTAATTAAGCAATTGATTAATTGTTAACTGGAGTTTAGACTGTAAAACATGCCTTTAGCTGACAGAGCGACCCGTTCAGAGCAGAAATTATTGCCAAATTGTAAAAAAAAAAAAAAATATATATATAAACATTTTGCATTAAAGATTAAAAAAAATAAAATGTGTCAATATCCTATATCCAAAACTCCACAAGTGGAAAAGTTTGAGTCTGACCTGGTTTCATTTCATATAAAGTCTTCTTTAAATAATCTTTGGCTATCCCATTATTAATGAATCAGAAATATTATCGACAGATGAATTGATTTGCAAAATAATAGTTAGTTGCAGCCCTAGTACATATATTTGCTATTTTCCATTTAAATTTGAAAAGCCTTGTGTTTGATCTGCCTTATGTCACAGCCACATCCAGTTCCTGATTGGCTGACAGGACAACTGATACCAAGACAGTCATGGCGTCATGTCACTATGGGGATAACCTGTAAATCAATCGCTCTGGTCACTGGAATGGTTTTCTCTATTTGGCATCTGAATTCTTGTAAAACTATGAAAAAGTAAAAAAACAATAGAAACATAAGTTTTCTTATCTTTTGCTATAACCATAATGAAACTGTTTCTACTTAATTTTCAGAACTTTCCTAAATGGAGTTCACCTTTGTTATACTTGGTTAAATTAACATGATTTGGAGGTAGAACACAGTTACCTTTCAGACAGGAAAAAAAAACAAGTCAAACATTGTCTATGCAGACCTGAGGTTGTTTTGCACAATTCTGGATAGACATCTCTACATAGATTTTTCTGTCAGAGATTAGGATGAAATATTATTTTAATTCAGAAATGGAACAAACTTGGAACCACAAAGATGCTTCCTTGATTTGTCTTGCTTGACCAACCTAAGTTATCAGGGGAGGAGCTCCTCAATCAGAAAGGCTACTAAACGGTCATTAACACTGAGCTCCAATGTTTTCCCTATAAAGATGGGAAACAATAAATTTGAAGAGGAAAAAAAAATATTTAAAACTATTTCTACGTTATCATGGAATAATTATTGGAGTTTAAACAAGAAATATTGAGGTTTCAACTGGTGATGTACTTTGTCAAAGTTTGGGGGTATGATTGCTTTCTGGTTGTGCTCTACTTGCACGCCTAAAGAAAATTAATTTCTTTTTTATGAGTTGTACACAGGAAGCCTAGAAGCTTCTGTAATCATATCTGATGAAGAACGAAGAACTTCAGACAGTCAAGAAAAATCCTAATAGATATTTTTGCTTTCGAGACTTTAACCTGATCCTGTTTATTTTATGTGTACTTAAAAATGTAACTCCTTTAAATTTTTAAAGCAGTTGGACCTCAATAAACGTTCGTCATGTTTACAGAAATGCCAGCGATCAGATGAAGTTCTATTTATGTGCCGCACAGGGAAAACTTCTCCCAACAGAGGCTGTGTTTACCTGGACACTCATTGGATGCTTCTGGCTATCCCACTGTGTAAATAATGTTTGTCACTGTAGCTTGCGACATACTTTATATCATTTAAGACTTTCATGTGTACTTTACTTTAAATTGTCATAAAATTCAAGTGTTACTGTGATCAACAGGCATTTCTCCTTCTGTATTTTGTCTGTAAACTTGTTGGCTTAGCTTTACAAGGCTCATGAATGCAGAGGTTGTCGTTTTGCTGCCATCTAGTGGCTGAAATCTTACATTTCTTTCATAGTAGGGGTCTCATTATGCAACAGAATGAGCCAAAGGTAGGTGGTTAAAACAGAAAATGTGGTGGTGGGGGGTATATACTCAGAGCTACATGTAGAGCAGCAGAGGTTGAACTGATCAAGCAGCATTAATCAACATGAAATGTTTTTATTCAATTTACATGTTATTTATATGATCTCGTCTCAATGCACTTTCGGCTAATTTTCAAATCTGTGCTTTGAGAAGATCTCAATGTTTATGAAGTTAAGTTTTGAAAGTTGAATCATTTTAAAAAAAACTCCTGAGTGGCTAATATTTGACTTTATTATTGTTTGTTTTCATTATTGTCGATCAGTTAATTAACTTTTGATTATATTGATAATTGTTTCTGAGATTGTCCATCTCCCAGCAACGACTTCACATAATGAATGTAAAAGTTTAAGTCCATGTGCTGTTGAATTTATTTATTTTTCCTCACCCGTTTTACGGAGCTCAAAGGTCCAATGGTTATTTTAGTGAGCATTTTGTCCTGCACACTTTTTCTTTCCACTTGTTTTTCCAGTCATATAGGCTTGACTTGACAGCTATCCTTGCATAGGTTCTCAATAAATGTCAGATGATTGTGTAGCTTAAAACACACCAATACATTATTGTATGAAGAATTGTTTTTAAGCTGATGAAACATGTTCTGAAAAACTGAATTAAGCTGAAATAAATGTTTAAGATAGAACACTTTGGATTATGAATGCAACTTTTACAAACTAAATTGACTTTTTAACAGATCTGTCATTTCATACATGTGTGTGTGTGTATGTATACCGGTATATAATTTGCTGTTAAAGATAAAGGAATAGTTTAGAACAACAGCCTATATATTCTTGTGGATGCAGTACATCTTCACCAAAATATGGAGGACCAGGAGTGCCACTGAAAAACAAAAACAGCTTTTTAAAATTGAATATTTAGATCATACAGTTGCTGCTGAAATGTAAACAACTCTCTCACTGGTTAGACTGCCACACTTTGTTCATGATGATGACCAATGAGTTAGCTGATTACATCTGAGAGCAACTGTGTTTTAACTGGTTGCAGTGTGCTCAGGGACCACAATTCAGGTAAAGGTAAATGCAGATGGTAAAGTGAAAAGAAAATAGAAATGGAAGCAGTCAATACATTTTAAAATGTGTTATTTGAAAAGTTATTTATCAGATTTAGTCATTTCAAAAAATATTCAAATTTGAGTATTTAATAATGGATTCATAAATGCAATTTACAATTCCTCTTTGATAGTTCAATGTAAAATGTGTTATTAGAAAATGCTTTTCAAATAGGATTTCTAATTATATGATTTAAATGTTAAATTTGAAATGATTGCTTTTCTTTTTCAGTGACTCATCTGTCATACTTTATGGATACCTATTAGGAAACCTGATTTGACTGATTGTATAGCTGTTTAATCCATACAGATTATGACGTCTCATTAAAGGGAAATTGTAGTGGAAACTTAGGCTGCTGGATTAGTTTAGTCAAAATAAATACTCTCTTTGAAATGCTCATTTTGTAATTTAGTAGTTCCAGAATGTAATTTTATATAACATTTGAAATATAATAAAAGAACAATACAGAAAACTTTATAACTAAATCTTATATTGGGCAAAAAATAAAAAAGTTTAGTCATAGTGATAAGAACATCCTCTATTTTTTCCCCATACTTCTTAAAATGTTTTAAAAACAAAGTATAATCGAATTTACTAAATATAGGTCTTCCATGTAATCTTAAAAACTCCCATCTCCTTGTGCTCCCATTGCTTTTATTTTTTTCTTGTCCCCTCCTGGGACAATTGTGAAAAATGTCATACTTATTTGAATTTTTTTTTTTAAATATACATTAGATTTTTTTTTTTTTTTTAAAGTAATTCAACTTCTCCTCCTTTAAGATATAATTATTGTTGACAGCTTGCAAACCATTATTGGTGCATTGTCAACTATGGTGCGCGTATAAAAAGTAACGTGACAATCCGCGTGATTCTAGTCATGTGACCAGGAAATACTTTTCCACAAACAAAACACGGCGCAGCTGCTTGTTTGTGCGGGTAGGAGTCTCAGGTAGGCTACTCTGTCATGGCGGCCGTATTTCTCCTCCTCCTCTCCTTCCTTCTTCCCACTGCGGCTCGTTATACCCCAGACTGGGTGAGTTTGGACGGCAGACCGCTGCCATCATGGTACGATGAAGCCAAAGTGGGCATTTTTGTCCACTGGGGCGTCTTCTCGGTGCCCGGCTTCGGCAGCGAGTGGTTCTGGTGGCACTGGCAGGGTCAGCAGCCGCCCGACCCCAATTATGTGAGCTACATGACCAAGAACTACCCGCCCGGCTTTAGCTACCCGGAGTTCGCCCCTCACTTCCACGCTCAGTTCTTCAACCCGGAAGAGTGGGCGGACATCTTCAGAGCCTCTGGAGCAAAGTAAGTTCTTTGACTTCTGACTGCTACGGAAGAGGATTAGGGACACTGAAAAAAAAAAAAGTTAACTGATTTTTAAATATTTAATTTTAAATTGGGAAAAGTCAGAATTCTGATCCATTTTGTTTTTTGGACCCCTGTAATAAAATTATCTGACACAATGACTCAACTTCTCAAGACAGAAGCACAGGGGGAGCTGCTCACATCCATAGCTCAGGTTTAACAGTGTGATTAAAAAACTGGAACTGTTTGTTTTGCATTCTACCGATGTGGTTTTTATAGAAGAGCATCGAGAAGAGTCAACACATTACACCTTTTGCAGTTTTCCATAAACCATGTGGCACGAAAAGACCTATATTTGTTGTTAGATTAGAAAATTGCCTTTTAAAATTGAACTTTATTTACTTTATTGATCTCACAATGGAAAAATTACGGTAACTCTGCATTTAACCTATCCCCTTTGGGGAGCACTGCGCTCTAAACTTTGTTTAGACAAAGTCTGTCTGAAAGAAAAAAAATGTATGCCTCACTTTTCAGATAAATAACTTTTAGAAGATAAAAAAAAATCATGCATCCTATTTCTTTCTGTCTCTCACATTAAACCAGATAATGCATCAGTTTGCAGCAGAATAGGAGAAAATTGGTTTAAACTTTTGCATGTTTTTTTTTTTTTTTTTGTTTCACCATTTTAATGCACCTTTAACAGGTATGTTGTCCTGACTGCAAAACATCATGAAGGGTTTACTAACTGGAGATCTCCGTACTCCTGGAACTGGAATTCTGTTGATACTGGTCCTTACAGGGACTTAGTGGGAGACCTGGGAGAAGCAGTACGCAACAGGTGAGTGTTCACAGAAGCTTAATGAAGGGTTTGATAACTGTTCTGCATTGTTGAGATGGAGAGTTGCATGTATTTTATATAATGCTATATGTTGCCCCTCATTGTATTAGCACTTTTGACTGTTATCACATAGTAAACTCAGCCTTTTGCAACTGTGAATGTTTTTATTTAGGTTTCCTTTGCAGGGAGGGCAAACTAAATGGAAATATGAAGGTTTTTCTGCATCAGTCTTCAAAGCTTTTTATTTTTTCACTTAGATCGCTGCATTATGGCCTCTACAACTCCCTGTATGAATGGTTTAACCCCCTCTACCTTGACGACAAGAAGAATGGATTCAAAACCCAGCAGTTTGTGATCCAGAAGCTGCTGCCTGAGCTCTATAACATGGTCGTAAGGTTAGTAATAGTAGCAATAGATTACACTGCTTGCCTTCAGTCTCCGTATTGCAAAATATTGCCACACCTGTGTTTAACCAGCTTGTTCTGAGTAAGTGTAACGCCCATTTTCTTGCCTTGCAGGTACAGGCCAGAGGTGATCTGGTCTGATGGAGACTGGGAAGCACCAGACTCCTACTGGAACTCCACCCAGTTCCTGGCGTGGCTCTACAACGACAGCCCTGTCAAAGTCAGTGCTTTTATGATAGACAAACACCATCATGCAAGAAGTGTCCACTTTGTATAATTATATTCATTGTCTCAGTCTGTTTGTTTGCCACATCCTCTTTTTCTTAGGATACTGTCGTGACCAATGACCGATGGGGAGCTGGATGCGCCTGCAAACATGGCGGCTATTATAACTGCGAGGACAAATACAGCCCCGGTCAGCTGCCCAAACACAAGTGGGAGAAATGCACATCTGTGGACACACTATCCTGGGGTTACCGTAGAAACATGAAGCTGAAAGAACTGATGGACTTGCCCGATATTATTGACGTAAGAATGCAATATGAGGCTCCTCCCTTCCTCTCTAGTTACAATAGGTGCATTTCCATCAGCTTTTTCACATTACTGATCTGTGATCAGTGCTAGACTGCAGTCACTACTTCCTGTTTACTACATCAATGCGTGATGTAATGCGGCCGTGTGGCGACATTACTCATTGTGCCGCTTGGCTAATACGCTGTAAACCAAATGGAAGTACTGTAAATTTGCAAAAAAAAGTTTCATGAAACTGCAATTGTTATTTTAGTTTGGTGGAAACATAGTTAGTGTCCTGAATATGTGATGTCAGTGCAACAGAAACTGGGAGGCAGTTGAGCGGCAGAAGGACAATGGCGTTTTTAAGCAGTTTAGCTCGTTATGACTTCTAATCTTGGTATAAGTCTTAACCACCTTTTAATCATTTTCTCTTTTTCCTGTTTTTATTTTTTTATTTCAGTGATATAGAGAGAGAGATAGAGAGAGATATTTTAGCAGCTCCCAGCACTTGAATTACTCAGTCAGTTTCGACAGGTGAATTAAGCACTTTATTTTTCTTTTAAGATCCTCATCAGTCACCACAGTTACTTTAAACTAAAACATATATCACATATACAAATATTAGAATGATATTTTACTACACAAATCACAAAGCATACCTCGCTGCTTTCACTTGGGAAAACTAAGTGTTAAATGCCTGCTTGATGGAAAAACAGCTTAACAGTTCAAGTCATTCATTAGTAAAATGATTCTACCAGCATTTATAGGCCCTGTACTCATTTGCTACGGCAGCCCGTGAGGTACAAAAAAAACCTTAAACATTACAAAGTAAAAATACCATTAAATAAAAGACAAACAATGCTAATCAAAACAAAAATCTATAAACAATCTGCAACATTTACAAAATTCCCCTCCAATAATTTACACTAGTCTACAAAAATTAGACAATTATTAGACAATTTGTTTAATAGCTTATATATCAGTCTGTTTAAAACCACTTACCAGCCAACCATTACCTTCATTCCTCTTTGTTCCATCTGTTCGGCGCTGATTGCTTCTTGTCGTTTCCACAGGACCTGGTCCGCACTGTGGCTCTGGGTGGAAACTATCTGCTCAATGTAGGCCCCACAGCCGATGGAACTATCCCCCCTGTGTTTGAGGAGAGGCTGAGGGGTGTTGGCGCCTGGCTTGAAACCAACGGAGAGGCCATCTTTGCCACTAAACCCTGGAGGGTCCAAATGGAAAACTCCACCGTATCAGTGTGGTAAGAAAGAAGAACGATTTAATCTTTTGGATCGGAGTCTTGTTTCTTGCCAACGTTTAGTTTTTATTACATTAAATCTAAATGCATAAAAGGAGTAAACAATCTTAATGTTTAATGTCTCCTTTAGGTACACCTCAAAAGGGGCTACAGTATATGCCATTATAACAGCCAGACCCCCAACAACTACACTGAAACTGTTGATTCCCAAAACATCAGCAGCAACTAAGGTAAATGAGGTTAATCAAATCAAAGCTGCTTGTTCTTCCACTCAGCTGATTACTTTTGTGACCAAAGTTGGGATTAATAAGATAAAATTGAAAAGGAACAAACAGTAAATCTGTTTCTTTTGCAGGTGACCCTCTTAGGACGTCCGTCTCCTTTACCCTGGGCTCCGGTTTATCCCAATGCTGGTCTCACCGTCCTTTTACCAGATCTACCTTCCACTCCTGGTCAAGCATGGACAATCAAACTAGATGGTGTCCAGTGAAAGTTAAAATCAGAGCTTTTACCCTTTAAGGCCTTATATATTAAATGTATTTCATGTTTTCTTTTATTTGAATAGAATTTTTCGATTTTACACTTGACTGGGATAATCAGGGAATACATGGGATGCAATTCAGGCAAATTAATTCTTGTATAAATTTTTTTCTTTAGATCAAAGAAAAAAACTGATAATTTCTTTGCTGCTCTGAAAACCTTGTTCTATGAAAGAATTTGGAAAATGAAAGTTACTTTTTGTACATATCTTTACTTTGACGTCTCTTACATTTTGGAATAAAAAAATACCTTTAATTTTGTTGTCCATTAAGTTATGGTATTTAGGCCCAAATGTACAAAAACAGGATTCTTCTCAAGAATTACACCACATAATGACATGGATATGAATATATCGTATAGCCCCCTGAACTTTTCAACCTCTTGCCGCATTCGGGGCTTAAAACAAAGATGTAAAATTGCAATTTTTGCAATAACAAAAGTTATTGGATAATCGAACTTAAAACTGCAAAATTGGGTGTGCATAATTATTCATCCCCCTTGAGTTACTACTTAGTAATGCCACCTTTTGCTGTGATTTCAGCTGCAGGTGACTTGGGGTATGTCTCTATTAGTTTGCACATCGATAGATCAATTTTTTTTTAACACTTCTTCCTGCAAAACAGCTCAAGCTCAGAGCGGTGGGATGGAGAGCGTTTGTGAATGGCAGTTTTGAGTTATTTCCACACATTCTCGATTGGATTTAGGTGTGGACTTTGACTGGATATATTTATCTGTGAACCATTCCATTGTAGATTTAGTTTTATGTTTTGGGTCATTGTCTTTGATAACTCTCAATCCCAGTCTCATGTCTTCTGCAGACTTAAACAGGTTTTCTTCCAATGATCCTTAATTTGGTTTCATCCATCCTCCCGAAATATTTTACCATCTTCCCTGTCCCTTAAGAAGAGCAGGCCCAAACCATGATGCTGCCACCACTGTGTTTGACAGTGGGGATGGTGTGTTAAGGGACATGAGCTGTGTTGCTTTTATGCCAATGTTTTGCAATGTTGCCAGAAAGTTAGAGGTTGGTTTCATCTCACCAGAGCATCTTATTCCACATGTTTGCTGGGTCTCCCAGAGTTGTGGCAAACTCTAAACAAGACTTTTTATAGATATCTTGGAGAAATTGCATCCTTCAATAAAGATTTGTGCATGCTATGACTGATGGATAGAGTCTCCTACCTCAGCTGTAGATCTTTGCAGTTCATCCAGAGTGATCATGGATCTCTTGGCTGCATCTCTGATCAGTCTTCTCCTTGTTTAAGCTGAAAGTTTAGAGTGACGCCAGGTCTTTATAGATTTGCAGTGGTGTAGTACTCCTTCCATTTCCGTATTATCACTTGAACAGTGCTCTTTGGGATGTTTAAAGCTTGGTTGATCTTTTTGTAACCAAATGTGGCTTTAAACTTCTCCACAACAGTATCTCTGACCTGTCCGATGTGTTCCTTGTTCATGATGCTTTCTGCGCTTTACATACCCCTTAGAGACTATCACAGAGCAGGTGCATTTATATGGAGACTGATTACACACTCAGGTGGATTCTATTTATCGTCACCAGTCATTAAGGTCAACATCGGATCATGCAGAGATCCTCAATAAACTTCTAGAGAGAGTATGTTGCACTGAAAGTAAAGGGGTAGATTAATTTTGTATGCCCCGCTTTTTATTTATCAAAGTTTTAAAAATATCCCAAAGATTTGGCTCCACTTCAAAATCATGTCCTACTTCTTGTTGAGCCTTCACAAAAAAATGAAATTGTATGCCTTTATGTTTGAAGCCGGAAATGTGTCAAATGCTCATGCATTCTGTCACTGAATCACTTCCATCCATCTTCTCCCGCTTATTCAATCAGGGTGGAGGTGGGGCTGGTTCCTATCTTCGGCAGTTTATAGTTGTAAGGCAGGGTGAAAGCTGACCAGGTCACCAGTCTGTCACAGGGCAACACAGAGACTTACAACCATGCACACACACTCACACCTAAGGACAATGTAGAGATGCCATTTACCCTAACAGTCATGTTTTTGGACTTTGAACAGAAGCCGGGGTACCTGGAGAGAACCCATGCATGCATGGGGAGACCCTGGGCCGGAAATTGAACCCAGAACCTTGCTGCAAGCGAACAGTTCTACAAACTGCTCCACCATGCAGCCTGTTATTGTTTTGCCTTATATTGAAATCACTGTAAAACTGCACTGGGGGGAAAAAATTAGAGGGAATTGTAGAGGCAAGAAAATAACTGCATATATGTTAGTCTCCCTTTAATCTGAATACTAGGACTAAGACTCTTACAACCAATCAGTAATTCAAAGTGTCCTTTACGGGTATGGTAGAGTTGATACATACATTAACTATTGTCAGGGTTCTTCACCAGTCAAAGCTGTTGGGGAGAGGTAAAGAAAACGGATAACCAAAGTCAATTTCTCACATGGAATTCATCCAGAGTTTGGTGGGCCGCTCTAAGAAGGAGCTAATTTGATCTAAAGCTAACTTTCTGTCACCCTATGGTGAATACCAAACGCCGCACAAGAGATGACCCCCTCTTATCATCAAGCATGGTGGTGGTAGAATCGTGTGCTACAGATTTTCATCAGCAGTAGTGCTTGGAAAGCTTTTGAAGGAAGAGTGGAGCAAAAATAATCTGATTTAGTCTCAGTGAACAAAGATTTACTTTGAAACAATATAAGGATCTGAAACTCACTGTAATTGTTTAAATGGAATTTTTTTAAATGGGAGCAAAACGAGGCCTGCGCCTGACAGCCTAACCTGTTCAACAACTGCAGTGTTCTGATGAGCCAGTAGAGGGCAACCTTCTACATACTTACCTGTCAATGCTGTCCATAACCATTTCATGTTTGATAGTAATTACATTTTTTTCTTATTTAAGTATTGTAAAAAAAAAAAGAAGAGAGAACTCATGCTGACCCCGATTTTATAAAAGGGATTAAAAGGATAAATGTCACAGAGGTGAATATTTTTTACTCAAAGGTCCATTTCAGAGTCTGAACAGAATCTGTTTCCAATTCTGTTCAAGTCATGGGTGATCACAGCGGATATCCTCACAGAGTTCTTTGATTTTAATTGCTAAAGCCTATTAGCATTTTGCCATCTGATGTAGAAATTGCTTGATACAAAATGATTTCATACTCCTGTGTATATTTACAGAATTTCTAGTAAATAAAAGTTTTGTATTAAGAAAACAAGAGATCTGCTTCAAAGAGATCCATCCATCCATCCTGTATCTATCTATGTATCCTTAATCTAATCTAATCTAATCTAGTATATGTTCCCCGTGTGATTGCCTCATCCCATCAATTCCCCCAAATGAAGAGAGTTTTGGAAATTAATTCATTTTGGACGGATGAGCAGATGGAAATAATTTCTGAGGGCCATTCAAAATCATCTAAATAATATGAAAGTGAGTGAACTTTCTTTTAAACTTAGACTACCAGTAAAAATATTTGGACATACTATTATTCAGTCTATTTACACAAACTTTTATTCAGTCTATTTACCTTATTTTTATTGCTTCCATAATTTATGCAACAACAGAAAATGTAGAGTATCTCAAAACCTCTGTTATACTTATACGACTTTATTGTTATTGCTAATCTACACTTTTGACATTCTCTCCATGAACATGGAATACCTTCCCTGGTCTTGAAGGAATGAAAAAGTCGGTCCAATATTTAGTCATATAATAATAATAATAGGAGGCTATCAATTTGCTCCATATTACTTTAATAATCATCTACCTTAGACTGACCCTCAAAGAAATTTTGTTTATAAGCTGATTATTAATTTCTAAAACATTCAGTCACAGAACCAACACACTAAAAAAAGACAAAGGAGACGCAGCACTGCTTGTTTAACTCGCTAAAATAGCTTTATAATAATAATAATAATAATAATGATAGTAATAATAGTAGCCATTAGAAAATGTTCAGACAACGTTGAAAGTGTTACATTCTGTGTTGGAGTAAACCACGTCACAGTGTGCCATCTCTCCGGTTTCAGCGCCATCAAACGTTTTGGACACATTTAGACCCATAAAAACATGAGAGCAAGAAATAAACTTGTATGTACAAAGAAAAAAAAAAAAACAGCACGGTACACAGTAGCATGGTTTACACTGCCTCCACCGGCTGAATTTGGACACTTCCTGGCGTGTTCTTGTGCACCATGTGATGGTGATCACTTGGTGGCGTAACAAACGTTTACACTCAATGGCAACTCTATTGCTCTGCTCGAGTCAGCCGCTTTCATAGAAGAAGGAAAAAAAAAAAAGATTTGAAATGTTTGTATGTACAATATGCTGTCTTGGCACGGAGTTTATGATATATTTCTATAAAACAAGTGAATTCATGCTGAAAATTCTTTCTAAACCATAGTGATCACTGATAATACAAGAAGGGAGTAGAGAACCAAGGGCTGTTTTCCCTTTGCTACATTAATATAGAGTTGAATAAGGAGAGTGAAATGTCCGTTCGATGTCCTGACTGGATTTCCTCCTCTGGCTGGCACTGAGAGTTCAGGTTGGAATAAAAGCACAGAGAGAAAGAGGTTCTATTGTTTAGATGGTCCGTTCCCAAAGCCCACTTCCTTCAGTAAATCCTCACCCAACGGGAGTGTGCATCATTGAGCCCAGAGAAAAAAAAAAAAACACAACAAAAAAAGTCTTCCCAGAGTTAATCAACTTTCTCTTCTTCCACTCCATCTCTTTTAATAGCAGCGATTTAATAAACTGAACATAGAATAAACTATATATTTATATAGATTCTGTTTCTATACACATGACTTGCCCTTGATCAGCCTACAGAACAATTTTCACTCATAGCTATATTTAACAACACTGTATTGATAATGAAAGCAATGGCACTAATTAAAACCTTTAATGACAATAATGGTGATAATATTCTAATAACTATAAATGCAGTTTAAAGATAAGCAATGTCCATTGATAGCAGGTATTTACACGTCGTAAACATGGCAATGTTAGGGTATAGATTATAGATAGATATATGTTGTTGATAATTACACAGTAATTGTTCAGTTTTCTTTTACCCTCATTGATGTCTGTGTGTTTAATACACACACACACACACACACACCTGCGCACATATAGAGTTACACCTTAGCGCTAAAGGCACATTGGAGTTTCAGTTGAACATCTGTTTGGGTCTGAGCTGTCCTGGAGCAAAGAGGGAGGGTTTAAACCACAGGCAAGGAACGAGTATGCCCATTTTAAAGAAGTTTGGCCACAATATGAATTAAAGCATTATGGTTCTTATCATTAAATCAGAGTGATCCTAATTGGGCTCAGTGATTTTCAGCAATAGCCAATTAAGGTTGTAACAGGCTGTAATTAACTCTCTGCCTGTGGTGTGGTCTGCCAGTAATAAGCAGAATACAAAGTCCTACAAAGGGAAGTTGATACCTCTCTGTGTTTAGGAACATTTTTCATGTATAGATATGCGACTTTTGAAAGCCTGCATGTATTCTGACTAGTAAACAAGATTCCTGCAATTATAATTATTTTTTTTCTAGATGCAATCAATAAATAAGCAAAATGTGAAACTGTAGAAAATACAGAAATCTGACAGCTGTATTTATACATTTATCTTGAGAAGGATTGCTCATGATACTCGTATTTTCGGCTGATTAACAAATAATTTCTTGATTCTCAAATGGTAGCATTAGTCACTAGTTTTGAATTAGTTTGAAAAACAGATATTGGTTAAAAAAAAAAGAAAAGAAAAAAAAGAGGAATAACTTGTTCCAGAAACATGTTTTTTTTTTTTTGGATAACTATAACCAAGTCAACATGAGTGGCTTACAGAATCATCCCATATTAATTAGTTGTAGTTTTATGAAGGACAGCTCTGGGTAAAAGAGGGGCCCATAAAGGTCCTGGATGTTTTTGTAATTTTAACCTATTTTTTTTAGCCCTTATTGAAGACTAAGAGAAGAAGGACTCAGTTTAAACTAGTTTTGCTAATAAGAGATGAAACATTTAAACATGGTTCCCATCCAAAGGGCCCACTGTGAGCTCTGCCCAACTTAGTCCCCATTCTGCATAATAAAAACGCGCAAAATAGCTGGGTCTACAATACAGTAAATGAGTACTTCAAATGAGTAACTGATATTTAGAGCTACTTATTCATGTAATAATTAATTATTATTTTAAAAATGTATGTTTTATAGAATAGTTGCTTAGAATCAAACCCAAAGTTATGACCAATAGATTAAACGGCATCTCTGAAGAATGAACTGATACTGGTTTAAGTTTAGACGCCTGAAATGTTGTCATTACATCAATCTGAAAGCTACAAACATCTTATACGCAGGTTATGGGTCTGGTTTTACTTGGATTACTGGTTTAATCATCCAAAAGAACGCGTGTTTTGCAAATAGAAGATAAAACCCCAACGTTGCACTAAAAATGTTTCTTTGGGGGATATTATTTACCTGACTGGATTTTATTGGCATTGATTTTGCTTCTTCATTCTGCATTGTTTGTTTAAAAAAAAAAAAAATAGAAATTCACCATTTAAAATTGCTCCACCTGGGCTCCCGTTTGGATTTTCTAAGCAGTATCGCGCAAATGTGACAAAAATAATCTAGAAATAAGTGAAAACGTCTTAGATTAAGTGTATTTACCTTTAATTTGAGTATGTAAATAAGATGATTTGTCAATCGGATGAGTATTTTTACTTTTAAAGAAGATAATTAGATAATATGCACTTGAAATAAGACAATGCAATTATTTTTTTCTCATCTTAAATATAAATTGTCTTTTTCCTTTGGCAAAGTGTCTCATCTCCTCAATTCAAGAAAAAATGCACTTATTTTAAGAAAAAAATACTTAATTAGATTTTGATTTCCTGCAGTGATGTTACCATTATTCTCTGTTTATTCTCATTTTCCACTATAATCTTTGAACGTTTCTACCTAAACAAATGAAAATGTATGAGTGGAAATGCCTACTAGATGTCATTTGTTGCATTTCTATAAAATTGCAGTTTGTTAGAAGCAATAGCTGATGAATCTTTTCATTTAAGTAAATCTTCATGAATTTATACCCATCATCATTATAGTTCTCTTTTTTAATGAGTTCCTTTAGTTCCCTCACTGCAGTGACATAAGCTACTATAACTCCAGAGCAGCTCTGCCTCACAGTTATGTCAAATAAAACTCAAATCTGCTGCTTCCACAGGCCTCCAGCTCGGCTTTGTTGCAGAAGCACAGTCATGCAGCACAAAGATCGGCTACGATTAAGCTGCTGCCTCTGCCACCACGGACGCTTCACACTGTTTTCTAGTCTTGGGAAATAAATGGCTAACAGTGAATCTGGGCTCAAGCTGTGAGAGAATTTTCTTCTCTCCTCTCGATCACAGAATATCAGCAACACTCCTGCAAGGACTAATGTAGCCTTGTGTTACTAGGGTCTGGTGGTGGGTTTAGGGAATCCCCTGAGGACAGAGGTACACTGCTTCTAAAAAAAACTGAGGTACTCAGATTCTTCTGGCCATGTGGAGAAAAAGGCTTCTATAGTCTGATTGCTGTTATTTATATATATTTTTTAAGTGCTCAGATTATGTTACAACACAACCAGAAACTGTGATTTGTACTGTGCAGACATGATAGATACATTATACAGAACAAAAGAACAAAGAAAAAACAGGAAATCACAACCACAAAAACTGTGTTTGCTATGGACCTATTCCAAGGCAAGGTGTGGCTAGCTAACACCTCAGCTTGTAAAACTCATAGAGGAGAGAGTCAGCAAGAATGAAGGAGTTGTCCTGGTTGCTACTGTGGATAAATATCCAACAAAAGCCTCTTTAAATCCTGGTGTCCCCTCAAGGGCAACCTGTGGAATTAAAAGACCTTGCCATCCCCTCCTATGTAGGACTGAGGATCATGAGGTCAAGAGTCTGTCACAGTGGCGTAACAGTGAAAGAGCAGTTCGTTGTGCTTTGTTTGATGAGGGCTCCCCGGATGTTGTCAAGTTTTAGCGTAACAGAGGACGAGAGGGACAACAGCAAAAAAAGGCAGCCCTGCAACCGATGCAGATGCATGAAACATGCCCCCCCCCCACCCAAACACCCTTTTGTTTCAAAGCCAGCGTACCTCGCTTCTACAAAGAGGTCATTAGATTCATCGGCTGAAGTCCGAAAGCAAAACACTCGGTTGTTATTTTCCAAGGACGTAAGCGTCATTGTCTCTAAAAGGATATATTCGTACAAACACGTGATCCGTTAATAACTGCGTTGTAAAATCCTAGCAATAACTTCTTTATTTGTCAATCACCAAAAAAAAAAAAAAAAGATTTAAAGGCTACAAAATGTGTGTTTTGTTCTCCAAAAACTAGACTGCGCTAAAGTGTTCAGAGGAGGCTGACGGAAAGCATGCAGTGTTCACATCAACAAAATGCGCCAATCTCACAGGTGTGTATTGCAAGATCACATGAGGGAGATTCAGGAAGTTAGAACAATAATAAAAAAAAAAAAATCAGACAATACTCTGCAGATTTAATACATTTCTATTTACACATCTCTTTCTTTCTCTATACACACACATATATATATATTCAAAGTGTAAACTGTGTTGAAAGGAAACCTCCACACATAGCTGGTTAGGCACATGTAGTTGGTTCTAAACAGGAGATACAGGGAGGAAAGGGGAACAGCAGTACATGTGAGAACCACAGACAGATATTGAAGTAGGCCTAAGGAAGGATCAGACGTGGCAATCAACATTCTTGCCAGTGATACCCTGTGAACCTGACTCACAATTTCAAGATAATAAAAGTCGTTTTGAAAGTCTTCTTCACGCAGACCGAGTCTGGATATGCCACACATCTGTAGTTCAACACAACGCTAGGATCTATCATAATAATACTGCAGTGTTTCACATTTGATATATGATTTCTTTTGTACATATATTGTACTCAATAATCTCTGCTAATCTAGAAAGGTTGTTTATATTATAAAATATACATCTTCCAATAAAATATCCCATTTTGCCAACATACCCCCCCCAAATGAAACATTTCATTCACAAAAATTCAGATATTTTCTCGTCTTTCATATATTTGGACTCTTTAGTAATAAGTAAGATGAAAAGGATCTGTTGTATTCGGTGATTGAAGTGCGCTCACATATGAGCCAACAGTCGAAAAATGAGTTGTTTTAGATTTGCTTTGTATTCTCGAACCCTTCAACATAAGTTCACCTCATGCTCCTATTAAAGTAAATTAGGCAAAAAGAACCATCATAAAGAGCCTTGCAAAACCATTTATGCCCTTTGAACTTTTACACATTTTGTCATGTTACAGTCATAAACTTCAGTGTATTTCTGTATTTTTGGGATTTAATGTTGGCTTCCACACAAACCAGAAGTGATGATAAAAGGTTGCAGGCTGCTTTTAAAATCCTTTTCTTAAAACAACCTTTGAAACTTGTTTGTATTTAGCCCCCTTTTACTCTGATACACCTAAATATAATCCTTTATAATCACTGGAAGTCTCCATACGTCAACTAATTAGTTAAAAATATGCTGTTATTAAAACCAAAACCACCGGTCATGTCCGAAATAAGATTCTATTGAAGTAGAGTTGAAAAATACGAAAAATTTGACTAAGATGATGAAAAAAAAGGCTCCTTTGTTTTTAGTCTTTTTTAAATTCTTTTAAATAAATGGGAAAATCTTAAGATACGGTTGTCAACATAAACTAACAAACCACACAATGACAGCATTTAATCAGGTAGCAGCTAAGATGACCACGGTAGCTTTAGGGGAGCTGTAGAGATCGACAACTCAGGTGGGAGAAACAAAAAAAATAATAATTCAATGTGGCCCATATAGAAAAGTAGCAAGAAGAGAGTTGGTATTAAACGAAAGCAACAGGTCCTGCTTAATTTTGCCGATGTGGTCAGTTAAGCGCAGATTAAAAAAAAATAAAAATAATAATTTGGGCCTTAAAAATCCAAGGGTCTGTAACCTGCAGCTCCAGAGCCACAAGTTGAACTTTGGACCCTTTACTATGGCTCTTAATAGTGGCTAAAAAATTATAAATAAGACAACTAAGGTTTTTTTTAAATATAGTACAGTAGCAAGTACAAGTTTTAAAGGTTTTAGCAGGTTTTTAAATAAAAATAGAAAAAATGACCAGAAATATGTTTTTCGGTCTATTTTTCTTGTCATTAGCTTTCAAATGACTTTTTTTGTCTTTTTCTTTTACATCAAATAACATACAGAAGAAAATCCATGCTTCCTTTTTATGAAACGCTTTAAGTTTCCCCTTATTTTTAAACCTAAAACTACAAAAAATCTGTAGAGAACCGATTTTCTACAGCAAATATTTAACAAGAAGAATAAGTTATGTTTAAAAAGCAGCTCATGTAATATTTGTGGCTCTAAACACGTTTTACTTCGCTGTACTCAAGGCAAAATGGTTCCTTGGATTTTAAAAGTGGCAGATTCTGCCCGAAACCAAAGGAAGATAATGTCTCATAAAAAATTATTTGAATACACCAAAGTTTGTGGCTGTAATGTGAAACAAAAAGGTAAAGAAGTTCAACAGATAGAAATATACCCGCAAGGCGTAGTAGCTTTGCATGTATTATATATTTTTTACTCCCAGCATAAATATAAAATATCACACTATTTTCTTTTAAATAAATTAATCAAATCTGATTGGATTTGGTGATTCTTTGGAAGGATCATTTTCATCCGTCAAAACGAAATCATTCCTTCTTTTATCATGCTGTGAGGGAAGCAAAAAATAAAGTTAGGTGATTAAAAACCCCGCTGAATATTCAGGCAGATTTTATAAACTCATCATTATAAATAAATCATGATAAATTTGATTTATTTATAAATCTAAATGATTTCAAATCATTTAAAAGTGTCCCAGAAATGTTTAAAAGACAGGGTCTCAGAGGGGCAAATAGCAGTCTCTTGCATGGCTGTTTTTCGTCGGGGTGTTGGGCTTTTGTTCCTGAATGAGATCAATCCAACAAAGAACCACTGCTGTTAAAAACCCGGTTCTCATCTGACCACTTGGCGGCGCTCTACGCTCACAGTGAAAAACATGGGGCTTCTTCAAGTAAGTCCAGAAAAGCCACTGAAATAATTCCCCCTAAATCTCTTCGAAACCCTCTTCTTCTCAGTCCTTGAAACTTCACAGACCACACAGGGAGCTTTTATTTATTTTTTTCTTGTTTTGTCTGTGATGCTACACTGTTAAAGCTCCTTTTGGCAAAAACACACACACAGCTATTGCACATTCGGAGAGCCTCGCTGCTGGATGCTGAGGTTAGTCGATAGATAGGTGGGTTAAAACTATTGACAGTAAAAGATGCAAAATAGTTCCATGTTATACTTTGTGCTTGTGCTGACAGATGGAAAGAGGGATTAAGGATTCAGTGTTTGATATCATTTCTTGAGAGAGGCTCTTTGGGGCAAACTGAGAATGCTCAGAAATCAATAGATCTTGACTTAGGTGCACTGATATCAATGAAAGCCCACAAGTAGAGTTGGTTTTGCTGCAGAATGGCATCATGGGGAGAATTTCTTCAGAGGTCTACTGCCTGTTAAGCCCTTTTTGTGCTAGGTGAACACGCACAGGCATGCTACTGCGTGATCCTCTGCTCGATACTTTTAGAAAAGTGAACCGACTCGTTTCGACCAGAGTGAATATATATATATAAAAAAAAAAAGAAACTCTGACTAAGAAGGAAGTAAAAACGTCTTCGGCTAGATACCATTTAAGGTGTAGGCCTCTGTCTCGGTAAAGTGGTTTCAATTTCAAGACACTAAAATGGCTGTCATTGCTTGTTTAGTAATTGTATAAGAAAGCAGGACTCGATGGGAAGTGCCGAGGGTGAAGAGTGGCTGTGTTGTAGCGTATAAACAGCAATGACTCGCAGAAGATCCAAAGCATTACGGGGATGAGGGCGTTGCGGGTTCAGAGCCGAGTCTGGGCTTCGGGGATGTAGATCTCGATACTGTCGGCGCTTTCGGTGGCCGAGTTCTGCCTGAAGGAGGCGGTACGCTTGGTCTGCAGCAGCCTCCTTCGTGCCTCTGTCCTCTGGCGGTCTCCGAGGTCCAGGGATTTCTCCCTGATGGGAAGGGTGTGGCCTCCGAGGCGTGGCACCACCAGCCCCCCAGAGCCACCTCCTGCACTCCCGGAAACCCCGTCTCCCACGCTATCGGCCCGCAGGCTGCCGCTTACCCCTCCTGCAGGCTTCTTTGGTAAGGGTGGAGGAAGTTTCTTATCCTCCTGGCCCATTGATGGTGAGACATTGGTATGAGATGTGAAAGGACAGTGGATATTTGTGTCGGGAAAAAAGGAGGTTTGTAAAGGAAAACCCATGCAGCAAAACCCACAACATTGAAAAATCAAAGCATTATGAGAACGAAAAAAAAAAAGAACAAAAAGGTGGTGCAGCATGTACAAGTGTTGAGTTTTATGAATGGAAATGGAAAGAGAGAAACAAGGGAAAAGTGGAAAAAAAAGGAAGAAAAGAGTAAAAATATAGTTAGTTTTGGAGAGGTTTGATAGAAAATAAAGCTTAAAGCTGTATTTTTTCTTGACAGAGTGCAAGAAAAGAAAAAAAACAACTTAAATATACATAAATTAAAATAAACACCAAATTAAATTCTATCAGTTTGAACTGCCGCTGCCTTGTGGGCAGATCTGCTCGGCTCTTCTTGGTCTGTTCTGAGTTGTAGCAGCCTGTAAGCGTTTGGAGGGCACAGCCATCTGTTCTACTCGTCTGCACAGAGCCATCTTAGCTCTGGGAGACTGCTGAAGGGAAACCTGGGTAGCTCGGACCCTCTGGTCTCTCACCTTCTTTTCAGGTGGGAGCCTCCACCCAGAGTCCTTGAGCTTCTGGAGGTCCTGAAACCTAACCCTTACGTCTTCTATGTTGAGCTGCAGCAGGTCCCAGAAGGATGCCAGGTCCTGCGACGTGGGCTGGGGGTAGGCAGATGGGTCCTGAGCAGATAGACAGGACAGGATAAATGATCATGCACAAAGAAAAAACAATTACATGCTACCTCCTAAACATGCAGGGCTATTTTCCAAAAAAGGCATACTTATACTTCATTTTGCCTGTTTCAACTGCTAAAACTGCTCATATTGTTACTGACAAACAAAAAGGTCATGCAGGATAATGTCGATGTGAAAATTTGAAAGTAAATTATTCTGGGACTGAGTTATTTAGATTTAACTGGCCAAAAAAATAAGTTTCCCTAAAAAGAAAAACAGATGCTTAGATACAAAAGTTCTAATTTTTTCTGTGATGAAGGAAATTACGGTAACATAATAAACTGTAAACACAACATCTTGGTTAGATGTAGGGCTGCAGCTATCGAATTTTTTTGCTAATTGATTAATCTCTCAATTACTTTTGCGATAAATCGATTAGTAATCGGATAGGAAACCGATTTTTTTACGAAATTAAACCAGGTCAAGCTTAAACTTTTCCCCTTATGTTCTGGATAGAGAATATTAAATTCGAAATGTTTATTCAAATTTTTTACAGTTTTGATATAAATACTCTGAGGGGGTCACTCTGTCAGCTAAAGGCATGTTTTACAGTCTTTATACTCCACTTGATTAATCGATTATTAAATTAGTTGAAGATTATTTCAATTATCGATTAATCTCGATTAATCTGACTAATTGTTTCAGCCCTACTTACATATATATATATACAGCAAGTTTGATGCCCATACAGCAAGCAATTAAGAAATTATAGATGTTTAGATTGAAAAAAATCCAGGCAAATCTTTATTGTTCCATTTTTGAAAGATTTGGCACAAATGCTAATAATCAGATTTTATTCTTGAAATTGAAACTTTAGAATGCTAATATATATCTGGTTATAAAAATAAAAAAAATCTTTATTTATACAATGAAATTCACACTATAAATACAAAGTTAGGTTGTAAAAAAATGAATGAGGGCTCATGGGCATATCTATCCAACCATTTGTACAATCAGGGAGCTTCGTACCTCTTTGGAAAGCTTTCCACAGCATCCAATGAAATGCACCAATTTGTCAGAACCCCCAGTGAATTAAAAGTGAGAGTAGCAGAGGTATTTGTGATTTACATGGTAACAGATTCCAAATATGGGCATGATGTAGTAGCGTAATCCAGAGAGAAGTAGTTTTTTTTCGCTGGATATGAGGCTATCAGTTGGATATATTCCAGAAATGGTCTTTTTTTTGGGATGAAAATATCTTTTGATGAAAACAACAGTGAAGGTAGGCTTGTCAGTTCCAGAGTTAGTCAGATACAAGCTTATTATTGTTGTAAAATAGCTCCAGCTGCTTTGAAAGGGGACGCTCTGGCTTAAGGGGGTGGCTATTTATTCAGACCCTTTGAGAAGCGACTAAATAAATAAAAGTTAAACCATGAATGCTTAACTGCACTGCTGCCTTGCAGCAAGAAGGTTCTGGGTTCGATTCCCAGCCCAGGGTCTTTCTGCATGTTCTCCCTGAGCATGCATAGGTTCTCTCCAGGTACTCTGGCTTCCTCCCACAGTCCAAAAACATGGCTTCTCTAAATTCTCCTTAGATGTGAGTGTGTGTGTGAATGGTTGTTTGTCCAGTTTGTCACTGTGTTGCCCTGCGATGGACTGGCGACCTGTCCAAGGTGGACCCCGCCCATACACAGCTGGAGATGGGCACCGGCACCCCTCACGACCCCACTTGGAATAAAGCTGATGAAGGTTCTCAGTCATTTGAATTCTCAGTCACATTTGAATTGAGAAAGCTTCCTGGAGAGGTGGCGAAACGTCTTCAAATCTTGAAAACCAAGTCCAGTGGATATTTTTTGAATTTTTACGGAATCACTTGGAATAAAGCGTGTCAGATAATGGATGGATGGATGGATGAGTGCTTAATGTATTTTACCAGGGTTGTGTGTGACTGCTCCCCACATATTATTACATAACTGTAGTAGTGGGAAAATGACGCATGGTTTACAAAATACATGGGCAAAAACAGTCAGAAGACTGTGGTTTCATATTCTGCCTTCTTGTTTCAATTCTTTGTAGAATCTCTTATTAACAACATGACAGCGGCAGGGATAAGCAAGCCTTCTCTCACAGCTCAGATTCTACAAAATGACATTTTTTAAAATAGTTCAAGCCTGGTCAGATGGGACAGAGGATCTGTGAACATCAATTTTCAGGCCTTCCTACAGATTCTCAGTTGTATATCAGTCTGGACATTGACTGGGCTGTGCTAACACAGGAAACTACTCAGAAACACCCAAGCAAGTCTTTCAGGGAAGTGAATCTTTTCCCAGCCTTTAGGCACTGACAGGTTTTCTCCGAGGCGTCCACTTCTGACAAGCTTCTCTGTCTCAAAAGAAAAGGATCATCTCAGTAAGAAGCTGCCGCCACCTTCAGGATGAGGTTTTAGCGACATGCATTATTTTGTTATTCAACTTGAGTTACTATTATTAATAAAGGGTTTTTAAATTTGAATTGAATAAATTCTCTGCAAGAAAGTTTTTTTTTTTTTTACATACAGTCCAATAAGTTTATTGTTGACCTCTTCTTATTGGGACTCCTTCCAGACAAACTGGATTTTTTTTCCAACAATAATTTTTCTCTTACACCTTTTTTTATGATGATCAGATTTATGGCGTTCAGCCCTAATTCCTCTCCTGCAACAGATTCGATCCACCTGAGCAGTGGATCCCTGCAGCTCCTCCAGAATTGAATTCTGTTAGCTGCTTGTTCAATTAATACTCTCTAAATCTAGCTTTGCAGCCATTTCTTGGTAGATTTGTGATCAAATTATATCCTTTCTATTTCAGCTATGAGAAATTCATATTAAGAGTAAAAGGGAGATAATATTTATAAATGCAACAATTCTCAGGGTTTTATTTGTCAATTTGCTGAAAAAAACATGCATCACTTTCCTTCCATTTTACAATTCTGTGCTCCTATTATTTTGGTCTATCACATAAAATCACCCAAAAGAGGAAATCTTGTGGTTATAGACTAATACAAGCCTTAAAAATGTACTCAGGTGTGAATATTTTCATCCCAGAAATGCATGAGGAAATTTGGCAGCAGTCTGGCCTGCATTGTAACATCTCTAATGGAAATAATTCAGTGTTGATGCAGCTTTTCATGCACACTTACAATACTTTGTTGACAGAGGCGGAAGAACTGCTGGACCTTTTGAGACATGAGCATCTGGGCGCTGCCAACCGCATTTCGAATCAGCTCAAGAGCTAAAAGAGAGAGAGAGAGAGAGAGAGATGGTGGAAATACAGTTGAACCAAAAAGCAAAAACAAAACATTTCCTCAAACTTACCCTCTTCTGGAAGTTCATTCTCTTCAGCCTCCCGCTCCATGTTCTGGCACCAGCCTTCCATCCTTTCCACCTCCGTCTGTAGGAGGCGTAGGAAGAACTCGCCGTCCCTCATACAGGGCGAGGCCCGACCTGAGTCTGGGAGGCTGCGCGGGCCCTCCAAGGACGGTGTCGCCGTCCAGGCTCGCTCTGAGGTAATCGGCAGAGGGGAGTGGGAGCGGGGAGGCAAGTGCGGGTGCTGGTGGGACCTTGTGTCTACTTCAGCGGCGTAGTTACCCTGAATAAGGTCCTGGACGAAACATAAGAGAGCATTGCTTTTAGAAATTACATTTTATTCTGAAATGAATCACCTGATTTTTTAAACATAAAATCCACCTCATCTTAAAATATTTGAACGACAGCATTAATATAAATCAACTACAATAAAGTGCAATATCAGGCAGCATTTTTATGTGTCCATAAAACATGCCAATGAGGTTATTAACCCCTTTGTTTCAGATTTGCTGGAGCAGGATTGCATTCAAAGTCTGCAGAACTGTGGCGTTCGAGGACAGACAAATTCATGTTAAGAGAGTTATAATTTTGATTAAAATAAAACCTGACAATCTAAATTCAGGTTATGGAGCCCAGGAGTCAAAGATCTAGGTTAGATTAAAAGTAAGAAATTTACTCACCCTGAATATATTCTAGTTTCTTAGTGTTAATGCAAACAAATCAATTAATAAAGGAACATTTATGAAGAAAAAATATGTTACACTTGTTATGTTTTTAATTTATCATAAGGAAAAAATAGCAAAATTGTTCAAACTGTTATTTGTCTTTTTATGGTAACATATTCAAATTTGTTTTTATTTTCAAAGCTCAAAGAACCCGCAGTGACTTTAGCTGAAACTGATATATATATATAGATATCTATATATATCGATATATATAGATATCTATATATATATAGATATCTATATATATATATAGATAATGAGTTTGGTGCCCATACAGCAAGCAATTGAGAAATTATAGATGTTTGGATTGTTTTAATTTCTTTTATCACTCTTTATTTACACAATGAAATTCACGCTATAAATACAAAGTTAGGTCTTAAAAAAAATTAGTGAGGGCTCATGGGCATATCTAACCAACCGTTTGTCCAATCAGGGAGCTTCGTACCGCTTTGAAAAAAGCTTTCCACAGAATCCAATGAAATGCACCAATTTGTCAGAACCCCCAATGAATTAAAGTGAGAGTAGCAGAGGTATTTGTGATTTACATGGTAACAGATTCCAAATATGGGCATGTTGTAGGAGCGTAATCCAGAGAGAAGTAGTTTTTTTTGCAGGATATTAAACTATCGGTTGGATATATTCCAGAAATGGTCTTTTATTGGGATGAAAATATCTTCTGATGAAAAAAAACAGCAAAGGTAGGCTTAAAGGTAGGAAAAAAAATCAAAATTGTTCAGTTATTTGTCTTTTTATGGTAACATATTAAAATGTTTTATCTTTATTTTCAAAGCCCAAAGAACCCGGAGTGACTTGAGCTGAAACTCATTTTGATTATGGACATTAAAGCAGAAATAAGATTTGAGCAAATGGATGCTTTATGTCTCTGCATCTGTGCATAAAAGATACATCAGAGATCTGACACTTTGCTGCTTATAAACTTATAAACTGCACTATAAACTGAGAAAGACTTCTGTGTGAAACTTTGCAAGGTTAAAAAAATGTTTAAAGGTGACAAGGTATATGATGATATGGAAAATATTTAAGACCCTTTACCTTATTTACTCTTTTTTGTTAGTACCAAGAGCTGAAATGTGTGATAAACAGTTAAAAATGTTTAACAAAAGAAAAACTTTTAATGTGCTTGACAACATACAACCACTTATAACTACAATTATAACTGATTCACTCACAGGCTGGTTTTAATTATTTAATAATTATAATCAATTAACTGAGTAAGTAATTAATTTAAAAGTAAAAAAAACCCATTTAGAATTAGAATATTACATCAGACCAACAAAAGAAAATGTATCTTTTAATTCATACACATGGGCTTTAAGATAACATTTATTTTCAAAAAGCCCTTTTTTAATAGTAAAGTCTCATCAAAATAATTATTCTAGTTTAGCAAATTTAAATGTATAACATACAGATAGATTCAAGAGCATCTGTTAAAAAAACTATTATCACTTTTACATCAGATTTTGGTCTGGACTTTCCTATACTTTGATCTTAAACGTCTATTTCTAGCTCCGGCACATATTTCCACACTTGTTGTGGTTCTTATGTGGCTTGTATCAAACTGCAAACATAACTTTTGTTTCCTACAAATGTTTTCTTCCTGCTAGTCTTTCATAAATAGCAGATTTGAGCGGCGCATGCTGTACGGTTGTCATGTCAACTGATTCTTCTACCTGAGGCGTGGATCTTGGCAGCTGATTGGCTGCAGCTCTGGTTAATACCAGCCAGATTAGGTGCATAGCCACGTCTTAGTTGGTTTACAGTTGTTCAGTTTCTATTTTTGGATGATGGACAGAATCGTCATCTGTGAGAGGCTCATATATTGGTGTTTAATAACCTGAGAAAGCCTCAAATCTTCTGTTGGTCTATCTCCTCCCAATAAGACCTGAGCTGGTTTGAGGGGTATAATAATTTTTGCATATACTCTGCTACCAAAAATGAAAAATAAAGACATTTAGCTTTCATTTGGTGGAGTTCTGGCATTGACCCACCTCTCTGTAAGCCCATTGGCCCTGTGTGTGGACTGTGCGGTGGCACTCTGTGTACTGCGATGCAGACTCGGGCTCTGATGAATGCCTCTGGAAGGAGCAGCCAAACTGAAGACTCTTGTCCTGCGTTGGCACAGCAATGCTAAGCCCTGGGAAGCCCTCTGGGTCCAGGTCGGCCTGGACGCTCGCTGTCACGCTGTTGGAGCGTTTGAATCGTGCCCGCCTTGCAAGAAAAAAGGAGACACGACAGGCTTAGAGCCATCTGATCAAACAGTATCTCCCTGTCTCAATTTTTTTTTTCCCCCAGCCTTCTTTTAATTCCACCTTCCAAAGTGAGTGCTGTCACGGCAATCACCGCTACTCGCCCGGTTGTGATGAGTCCCGCTAAATCCTTTGGCATATGACGCATCGGTGCGTGCAAATGTCACGCCAGTGTGCTCACTGATGAGTGTTTACACTGTTGCAACTTTAAACCCCACCTTCCCCTCATCTGTCTCTGCAGTCTGTTCAAGTCTGCAGCGTGACTCAGATTCACACCACCGGGTCCGGATGTCCTGATGCCATCTTCAGTGAACGGGGTTCAGAGTTTTAAACTTAGGCGATGATGTGAGTGATCAAATGCATGTAAGCAGAGCTGGATAAAATAGGGAGAAGCGCTGAGTCACGTGTGAAAGCCATGTTGAGTGTATGGATTGCTGTAGTCATGGTTACACTCATGGATAAGAAAAAAAAGAAAAGAGAGATTCTTGGAACAAAGTGTTCACGCTGTGCTGTTTGATGAAATCTTAAATGCATTAATTGGACATAGAGGAGAAATCAGCCGTACACGTGGCTGCACCGTCGGGCGCACAGGAAGATGGGGGCTTTTTCTGAATATAAATCAAAATTATTCACATAAATTACAGCACAAAGACCATCCGTTCTTGATGAAGCCACATATTTTGGAACAAAGCTAAATTAGCGGGTAAACGAACACCCTGCTCTGAGTTTGCAAGAGGAAACTTAAATGTCACCAAAACAAGTCAAGCTGGGAGAAAGTTCTGCAATTGAATACATTTTTTTTTTTTTTTTTGCTGCTTTGTGTTTTTCATTTAATGCATTACATTTTGTTTTACCTTTTCTCATCTTCCACTTGGACTCCTATAGAGTGAACCTCAGTGAGAGTCTTTCCCTCTGTGTCTGAATCTGACAGAGTCTCTGAGCTGTCCACCTGGAACAGAAATGGACAGGTACCACAGTCAGGATGTAACAGAGGTGGCCTGTAGCAAACATTTCCTGCAAGGAATAAAAGGAAAAGTGACATGTCTATGGGAAAGGGGAACATCTTATCACACCGTGTAAAGGAAAAAGAAAACATTGACTCAATTAAAGAAAAGCTACAAATACAGCAGTTGACATCTGTTTGTTGTCAGACTAAAAAGGTGTTCAGAGAATTTTTACTTGAAGTTTTATCTTCAATATTTTAAATTGTTGGACATATGTCACACATGGATAGTTTCATGCCAAAGCAGGCATTACGTTTAAACTAGTGATTGCTATCATTAGTAACTGTTTAGCAGTGGTAGCAAGATAATACCAGAATAAAATAGACAGTAGAGATTATGCAGAACAGCCCTGCGATGGACTGGCGACCTGTCCAGGGTATACCCTGCCTCTTGCCCGTTGACTGCCGGAGATAGGCACCAGCACCCCTCGCGACCCCACTCAGGATAAGCGTGTCAGAGTTGGTAGTTAAAGATAATGGATGGATGGATGGATGGATGGATTAAGCAGAACAATGGAATTAAAAAGCAGTAACTGTCTCTTTCACCACTTTACACAGAAATGCATTTTGAGCATCAAAAAGGGGCCAACGCCTCATCTTGAACTCTTTTGCACACTAAGGTCAGATGCATTTTGAGAGCGTTTTTGATAAATCCCTCTTTCTGTGTAAACAGGACATCCCTGATCGCATTGGGGTGATCCTTTTTTATCACCCTTCTATGGTCTAGATCAGGGATAACCAATTAAAAATAAATAAAATCATCAACCAGTAAAGGTCCGGAGACATTTTAATGATCTCTTACTTTAAACATAATTTAACACTTAAATACAACGGTGTGTTTATGCATCCATGTTATACATTGAATTTTTAAATGAAAAAATATAAAGAAAAAAAATAGAAATTTTTTTCCATTTTAACATCTAAAGTGTTTTTTGAAGTAGAGAAGAACAATCTTTCAGTTTGGTATATAGACTATTTCCTGATTCACATGTTTTTTTATGTGACTGTTTGTTTTCTGGCTTAGGAGGCTGTAGGCTTTGCGCAGGAGGTCTGGAGCGCTGCGGGGCGGAGCGGTGACGGAAGATGGGGGATTTCTGGGTAACAGGAGAAGTGGTACAAGTGACGTTTAGACACCGTCGTCAAACAACATATAATTTATAAATGTTTTAAATCAGGTTGGGTCCGGATTAGCCAGCAGGTGGGTCTGGATCTGGACCACGTCCGCTAATCCATGACCTCTGCTCTAGATCAGTGATTCCCAACAGGGGGTAATCGTGCCCCTAGTGGTCTGCGATTGCATTGCAAAGGGTACATGAACATATTTTATTTCTTGGCTAATAAAATTAAATAGAGCTGTGATCTGTTTTGCTTTGTAAGGATCCACCTGAAAAATAATAAAAACAATCTTTTTTCAACCAAAAGTAAGTTTTTCCTATATGTTTGAGTTCATCTTCAGCTGAGACACACATTAAAAACAAGCAGAGGAACAGCCTGGGATCAGCTGTTTCCCCGCATCTGATCAAAGCAAGGTAATGTGTCATAAATGATGAAAACTAAACAAAGCAAAGTAAAAGAAATGAAAGAAAATATAATTTTTGCTTAGTATTTGGTTCCCAATTATATAAGTGATTATAAAGGAGTTACTCAGAGGAGCTCCAGTTATATATAGATGGACGTATAGTATGATTTTATTTTGTATTTATTTTGATTCTTTCTAGTTTTCTTCTAGTTTTTTTATTTGAGTTGGAATAAATGAAATGCCAAAGAATTAACAGCTCAAGTTAAAAAGATTTAATAAAATACTTTTTCATTTAACAATTAGTTTTTGTATACTTTTGAATGAGGGGGGGACTCGTGGTTTGACAAAATGCCCAAAGGGGCACACAAGACATAAAAGTTTGGGAACCACTGTTGTACATTGTACTCAAAAGGCCAGTTTTTAAATGATAGTGCTGAATAGGGAGGTACTTAACCCTTCGGTTAACTGATGGAAAGCTGAGTGGGTTTCTACTACCAAACCAGTAGAATCTACAAAATCAGAACCTCTCAGATGATATGAAGTAGGCTAAAGAGATTTGAACAAACAAATGAAAAATAGATAAAAACAACATTTGAAAACTGAATTTTCTATCTATTTACATCGTCTTTGCTGATATTAAATGGTGCTTAATCTGAAGGGTTTAACTTAAAAATAATAAATAGCTAAAAGGTGGAAAATATTTTTGACATTACCACCTGCATTTATTGCTTTTTCTTAAAAACAAACAATCTGCCACACACTCAGTCTCACCTGCACAGCGATGGACGGCCTCCACTTCCTGCCCCCACGTCCGTCATCCTGCCCTCCGACTTTGCTCAGTATCATGTTGTTCTGAGGTAGGGAGGACGACTTCCCCAGGCTGCCCCCAACCCTGCTGTCCCTTTCTCTTGCTGGCCTCGGTGGCCCCTCCAGCAGGCTGTCTGCTGAGCAGCTATGTTTGGCCCTCACTCCCGGACCCCCTCCATAGGGCACCAGCTCCCTGGAACCCCTGACCCCATCCAGGCTCTCAGCAGAGTTACTGTGCTGACGGGAACGTCCTGGGCCACTTGATGTGTAATAGCTCCCCCTAGAGGTTCGCCCAGAGGGCCCGTCGGGGCCACCGAGGTCTACAGAGTTGCTGTGCTGCTTGGGACGCCCTGGGCCTTGAGTCATTTGTCCGCCGCTCTGGAAGTAGGCGTCCTGGGTGGACTCGGTACTGCTTTGAGCTCGCACCGAAAGAGAAGACTTTGACATGCGAGGTGGTAGTGGGGGAGGAGCACCTTTACGATAAGGAAAGACTGAAGTATAACAAGAGCAAGGGAAAAGAAGACAGAGGTATCGGAGGTTAAGAGCTAAACATGTCAAACAGGAGAGGGGTGGGTGGATACTTACAGAAGGGACAGACTGAAGGGAAAAAAGTGACAAGAGTGGAAAAAAAAGAGGGAATTTGAGAAAACCATCAAAGAGAAAGGAAGAGAAAAAATGGAGATCATTAAAAAAGACAATTCAGTCTGCTTCTCCAAATAACAGCTTTAGTAGAATTCCTTTTCATGAAGAAATACACAGCGCTCTGTGTCAATTCCAGCAAAAAGCAGAGAGCAAAGCAGCCGGTATGACAGAGGTAGCAAAGGTGACAACAGAAAAGCTCTTCCCGTGGGCTAACCTTTATTCAGCAGAAGTTAAAGCAATTGCCTGAAACAGATACTAAAAGAAATCCATACGTTTCACTTTCATCCTCCTTTCTTTTGCCTCACCCTTACCATCTGTGTGAGCAGCTCGTTTATTTTCAAAGTGTAAAATATACTAACTGAAGCTCCAACCTCCCTTGGGTACGCCTGTCTGTGCTGTGGAGCTATACGTGCGCTGCATGAGTGTTTGTGCTTGATGTAGATGATACTTTGCTGCGCTTTTAATAAATCTCCTGGGATTTACTGGAAGCCGGGAAACTGGTATCCTGCAAGGGACTAAACAATCTCCGATGCGCAAACAAACATTAACAAATACATGCAGCCTACAAAAATCACCAATTACCTGAGTAATGTATGCGTGAGCAGGGCCTTGAACTTTTTCCTAATTTTTTTCACATTACAAACACAAACTTTACCACATTTCATTAAGAATTTATGTGATGAACATGAAGTGGTGCCAACCTGTGACATTATACATAAAAATTATACATTTAAAAAAGAAGTGTGGTGGGAAATGGCATTCAACCCCTCTTTTCTGCAATTACAGCTGCACATCTTCTTGAATGCCTCTCTACCTGCTTTGTACATCCAGAGCCCAAAAACTTTACCTCTACAGTTTTGTATAAGCTGAAGGGCCGCCTTTTACAGCTGCTTTTTGTATCTCTGCTTCAGTCTCCTTGAACCCCAGTCGGCCTCGGCAGATGGCTGCTCACACTGAGCCTGGTTCTGATGGAGATTTCTTCCTGTTAAAAGGGAGTTGTTCCTCTCCACTGTCGCTACAAGCATGCTTAGTGTGAGGGATTGCATTTGAGTCAATGAGTCGATGCAATCAACTGGTTTTCCGTAGATAGACAACTTTGATTCAATTTGACTGTATGATCTGGTTGAACTATAAAGTGCTTTGAGATAACTTGTGTTGTGAATTGGCGCTAGAAATATACTGAATCGAATTGAAGCTAAAGCAGATTGACTGGAGATTTATAACTGCAATAAGATCTAAACTTTGAATAGGCCATTCTAATCCATGGATATGCTTTAACTCAACACTTCAGCTGCATCTCCAGCTCAATGTTAAGGGTCATTTTCCTGCTAATGAAGTTTATATCTCCTTCTCAGTCTTCAGTCTTTCGGAGCCTCTAAGGGCTTTTTTCCAAGTTCGTCCAAAATTCAATCCAACTATCTTTATCCTCTCTGACCAGCCACTTTGTCTCTGCTGAGGAGAAGCTTCTCCACAATAAATACCACAATGTTTCACAATAGATATTTGTTAAAGGTCACGTGCAGGGTTAGCAGGCAAGCAATTATGTCCAACTTTGGCCTCAACTGACTTTTCTTTTATGTATGCTCTCTCCCCTATAAATGTCAGCAAACTGTTAGCAGGACGTTTTGTGGATTCTCTTACACACCTTGCACATAAAGTTGTGGACATTTGTCAGCACATTATCCTGTGAATATTCAAAGCAGCTCAATTGTGCTCTTTTTTACTGCTTTTGTTTGTTTTGCTCTGTGATGCCCGCATGTGCAACCACACAACAAATGGTCTGGTAATTCTTTCATTAAATCTTATAATTTACTGTACTATATTTCATTTTTTAATTACTTTTATTTGATATTGGGTAACTATTTGGGTGCACATATTTAGTTGACTCATTTTGTCATGTCTTGCTTGTTTGGTTTTCTGTACATTAATATATTTTTCATTTGAGTGGCCAGTTCCTGGGAGGCTGTCATGAGTGAAGCCAGTAAAGGAAAGGAGGCCCCAGCTGCAAAGGATCTCCTCATTGACATGGAGGCCTAGTTGGACTCTTCCATTTTCTTTTAGAAGGGGCGTAGGAAGGGTTTAGGTTTCTGTATTTGGTTTGGTTTTCTACAATAAAATTTGGAAATTTTAATATTTAGGTCCTCATAGGTTGCTGATTTAGTATGGTTCTGATTAGTTTGGTCTTTTGTTGTAGTTTTGTTTAGGAAAATGTATTTTATGTTTCTCTCTTGTTTCAAAATGGTCTGATCAACCAGTGTGTGTATATATATATGTATATATATATATATATATATATATATATATATATATATATATATACATATATTTTAAATATAAATAAATATTTCACATAACCCTGTGTTCAGCCAGACTTAGCTTTTATAAAGTGTAAAAAACTGCGATAAAAAAGACCTTAATCAATAAATAATGCAAACTTGGTGAATAGAAGTATAATGAAGAAAAACGGTACCTATGTCCTCCAGCAGTCTAGGCCTATTGCAGCATAACTATAGCTCAGGATAACCACTCACACTCTTACTATAGGCTTTTTCAAAATGGAACGTTTTGAGCCAAGCCTTAAAAGTAGACAAAAGCTAAACTAGACTAAAACTGGTTGTTGGTCCAATAGAAGAGGAGCCTGATAACAGAAAGATCTGCCTCCAGTTCTTCTTTTAGAAGTTCTAGTAACCACTAGTAAACCTGCAGATTGAGAGCAAATTAGAAACATAAGGAANTATATATATATATATATATATATATATATATATATATACATATATATATGTTTCCCTTGTGTGTCGGTTAGGTAGGTCTTTTCCTGTGTCAGGTTTGGATTATGTGGATTTGTGTCATTTGTTTTCCTTGATGGGCCCAGTCTTTTAGAAGTTTGAATTTTATTTTTTTGCTAAATAAATGTGTTACCATTTTTTCATCAATGACTTCCCTGTGCTTCTCTGATTTTTTGGCTCGGTCCCTCACATGCTCTATAACATAAAATACCTTAAAGGTTGTGGTTTTTTATCTGACAAAATGCCATGAAATTTAACAGGAACAAACAGATACTAAATAGAGAGACAGCACTGAAGGTGACAAGGAAACAGGAAACAAGGCTAGAGGAAAGACAATTGGAAACAGTGAGGCATCAGTAGACACTGAGATACCATAATAACATGAGTGTTCCTGTACTATTACTGATCCTGAGAAACCTGTAATCAGAGATGCGATGGGAGAGATGAGAATATACTGTAGAGGTGAGGAGAGAAGAAAGAACATGTGCAATAACATGCATGCAAGTCTGTACCTATGGCTTGCAAACGTACACAAACACAGGGGAGAAGGAGGCTGGGGTAAAAAGTGAGATCATTATAGGCTGAGAGACTACAGAAACAAAGAAGCTAAAAATGAAAAATAGATGCATGATCTGCACACAGCTGTGCAGCAAGTAAGACTGAAGGGTTATGTGTGGGTTGCTTTGGTTAAAGAGAACTGACAGGCTGTCATCAAATTCCCATCTCACTGCACGGCTCCCTCCAGGTTGCCGCCACATAAAAAGAGAGACGGACACACATAGAACTCTAGCTGCACACTCACCGGCCCCACCCTTGATGCTCCCCTGGGGGCCGGACATGGAAAAGACTGAAAGGCAGTCGTCGTCCTGGGAGCAGCCGGCCTGGATGGCGCGCACGTAGCTGTGACTGCGAGTGCGGAACACGCCGGGAAGATCGAGAGCTTCGACAGCCTGGGACTCCACCTCCCCAAACATGGTTTCACAGACCGTCTCGAACTGATGGTTCAATGTTTCTCCCAGCTTAAAAAAAAGGGGACATAAAGTGAGAGATGTGTCAATGAAGAGCACTGCAGAACCTCTGCAGGGTTTTCATACCAACAGTACTTCACATTTCTGTCACGTTACGATACAAATATTTTAATTTGAGGGCGAAATTACTCGATAAACAAACGCAAAGTATCTGTGATAATGAAATCATAAGGAGCTCATGATCATTTATATTCCACTCATTTTCTCTGATACCCTCGATACTAGTTCATTTAACCGCTTTCCGGCCTCCAGCATTTCATTCACATTAGTTGTTTGGTGAAAGGAACAGGAACTCTGGATGAGCTGAAGATACTCACAGCTCAGGTGGAAGACTACTGACAGGGATAACAATTAGCAGAGCAACCAACAAGTCTTGGCTTAGTGAAAGACAGTTCCAAGACATAATACCCAAAACAGTCCTGTTTGCAGTTTGCCAGAAACCGACAAATATAGACGAGGAGACATCGGTCAGATGTATTGACACTGAACATTTTGGACATTCATTAAATACAGTGGTGGATGAAGTACTTAACAGTAGTACTTGACTGAAAGTATTGATACACATAGTCAAATCTTACCCAAATACAAGTGAAAATTACTCATTCAAACATCTACTCAAGTTTAAGTATTGAAGTATACACCTTTGAAAATACTTAAGTATTCAAAAATAAAAATAAAATGTTCGAAAATCAGTACATTTCTGTGTAATTTTAAAGAAACTTTCAGAAACCACCTCATATATTGATTCTTAGAACCACCTGCTACAAAATCTACACCACCTGGAAAGAACTTCAGCATAAAAATGCAGCAAGAAATGAGAGCAGCTATTGTGATTATTTCTTATTTAAAAACAAACAAAAAAATAAAACAAGTTTCTTTATTCTCCTCACACTTTCATTATGGAATAGAGGTTGAAGGTTGAATCTATTACCAAAAGAAAACCACAAGTCTGATTTGAGGACTTATTCTACTGAACAACTCAAGGCTTGATAAAATTAAACAAATTAATACAAATAATATCTGCCCTGAGTTTGTCATGTTTGTGGAATGCCATGCAAATCTCTAAAATAGAATGTTGAAATTGCATTTCAAGAATGAAAAACAGGCAACAGTAGATTACAAAGCGAAGCTGAGCCAAAAGTAACAATAACTAGCAGCTTTCTAGAAATGGAGTGGAGTGACAGTTATAAGTACAACCCCCCCACCAAAAAAATAAATAAAAAAAGTACTTAAGTACAGAAATGAAGTACATGGATTAAATACACTGCATCTGGAGGCAAAGTGACTCTGCTCAGCATCCTGAAAACATCATCCCCACCCTGAAACATGGTGGTGGCAGCATCATTCTGTGGTGATGCTTTCTTTAGTAAGGACTGGGAGGTTATCTATAGACAATCAACCTAAACACAGGCCAGTGTTTGAAAGAAACCAAATGTTAAAAAGTTCCGGGGTATGAAAACAAACTTCATAAATGTTAGGATGTTTCTGAATAATGAGACGCCATGCGGACGGAATAAGTTACCTGTGAGCTGGTAAGAGAACGTGTGTAACTACGAGAGCGAGTGTGGCTTTTGGGTGGTGCTCTGCTGTTCGGGATGGAATCCGTGCACTGCTTACAGGAGTACCTAAATGTAAAACAGAAAATCAAATTTAACAATATAGTGAGCACAGTGACCCCCACCAAACAATGCAAAATTTCTTCTTTTTTAATGCCAGTATGGTACAGCCTAACACTGGCTGTAAGATCCTCAGCCGTTCACTGTGCTATAACTGTAAGTAATGTTTATGGCAAACATAAAACGCCATTTGGTTGGCCACAGCTATCACATACATTTAATGAGTCATGTTTAAAGTTAAAGCCTCAGTTGTTCAATGTTTTAAAATGCATCACTTTGTCAAATGGAAGCAAAACAAAAAGTAATTACTGTCAATTCTATTAAAACTATTCAAACTTTGTATTATTTATCATCTCACATGGCTAAGTTTCCTAATGTGGTTTCACTTTCTAATAATCTAAAGTTTATAAAGTATAAAAATAGCAAAAATATTGACTTAGCAGCAGTTATATGGATGGAGATCCCTTGTTTGTATAAGAAAATTGGTTCTTCATTGATAATATGTAGAACCTGAAAGGAACACGAACAGCTCAGATCCATTTTGAATTCCAATTAATGGTTCAGTTGGTGGTTGGGTTGATATTTTTTTGTTGTTACATTGGTTTCCTAAAGTACCATCTAAGCATCAATTACACAGCAGCCTATCTTTATGACCACAGTGTACCTATCTTTTAATGGCTACTTCCACTATAAGATAAAAAAATCTCTAACTGTTTTCTGAAATAGGACATTGAGGTCACTGATCTCCAAAGGTCAGCAGATCTAAATCCAACAGGATATATTTTAGTTTTGGTGAAATGGGGGTTTTGCAACATGGAATTGCTGTCAACAAATGTCCAAATTATAAAATAATCGTGGCTCAGTGTTCCAATATTCAAAAACAGCAGCTGATAAATTTCAGATACAGATACATTTCCAGGGGGTCCAACTAATGCTAGGTGGGGAACACTTGAACAGGTCGCCAGTCTGTTGTAGGGAAACACAGAAACATGCAACCATGCACACACACACTTACACCTACAAACTATTTAGAGAAGCCAATTAACCTAACAGTAATGTTTTTGGACTGTGGGAGGAAGGCAGAGAACATGCAAACTCCATGCAGAAAGACCCTGGGCCTAGATTTTGGCCCAGAACCTTCTTGCTGCAAGGTAACAGTGCCACAAACCGCACCGCAATGAAGCCCATAATTTTTTTCAGTTTTGTATTATTTGAATTACTATTGTGAATTTATTATTTTCTTTACTGGGGGGGTATGTGAACTTTCAAGCACAACTGCATTTGCTCACTCTTTGCAGTGATAACTGATTTAGCTCTTCTGTGGAGGCTTTCTACAAAGTTGAGAGCTGATTATAGGAAGTTCGTACTGAAGTAATTTTAATGGATTGAACGTCTAATTTATCCCACAGTTTTTCTATGTGGTTGAAAGCAGACGTCCAAGCTTGTCAGCTCCTCTACCCCTAAAATTCTCCTTTACTTCTTTATGGACCTTGCAATCTGCAGTGGTCATTTTAGAAGATCAAGTGAGCCATTCCTACACTATATCCACAAAATACGGAACATAAAAGTCCAAAATGTCTTGCTATAATAAGGCATCAACAGCTCTTTTGATTGGAGTGAATGGGTCAAGCCCTAGTACTGAAAAACACCACAGTCCAATCTGCACCAAACCTTTATTTTTAACATTTAGAAGTTAAGCAAGTGCTCCTCTCTTAGGAGCGGCTAAGTATCTCTATTGGAGCCACAGAGAGATGTGATCTGTCCCTTAACAGAATATGTCTCTGAAGTCCATTGGTGGGGTGCTTTGGACGACTCTCCGAAATTCTGTAGAGTACTTGGGGATGTGTAGCTGGAATACTGCTGTTCAGCCAATACAACTTTTCTATAAAGCTTCCTTAGTGTTGTTACAGATTTCAGTGCAATATTACAAACTGGAGTTATTCCAGTTTTTCAGTAGTTTTACATGGCTATAAAACATCAGCCATTCAAAATGGCCCTTCCCAGTCAAAAGCCAGCCAAATGGCAACAAAATCCCCTCCAACTTCCAGCCACTGGCCTTCTAATGGGCGTGCATATTTATTTACTCTGACTCCAACCTTTCACTAAATTACACAGTCTGACCAGGAGATAACACTTTTCTTTAGATCTTAATGTCCACAAATCATGACAGAAAGAATATTTTGAATGGCTACCACTGTACGATACAACATTTAGTCGAAAGCCTGGATGTGTATGGCACAATCAAGAACACAAGCATGAGCCCACTTGTGTTGAGGATATAATTTAATTTAATTATACCAATGGAAGTATTTTTAGAGTAATTTCTTTTTTTTTCCAAGGGAAAAATGCCAGCTTACTACTGAAGAGAATTTTTTCAGGCCTCCTGCCTTCTATAGATACATGCAAATGTTTGCAAATTTTACCATCTCACACATCAGGGTAGGTCGTTTTTTCCCCCATCCCCCTGCTGCTGAAGCAAGAGCAGCTTGTATAGTCTTGCCTTTAAACCCAGAAAGGAGAAGCTGCAGACTATCAACAGTGACATAAATACTGTATTTGTGGTGTTTAACCTTGGATCCATGCTTATAGACCGTCTGAAGGCATCCCTCTGGGCGATCATGGTGGATTTGGGTGAGGCTTTAGGGCTCGTCTCTGAATCTGCGCTGTCATCATCACCCATGGCCTTGATGTAGCTGCCGCTGCGCATTCGGCGGCATGGAATCTCCCCTCCGCTGTCTGCTGATCCACCATACCCGCCTCCCCAGTCTTCTGAAGGGACCTAAAACAAATTTAGTGTCAGTCACATCCTCCATGGCAAAAGTAGCAACACATAGATTAAGAAAAAAGGTGTGATGAGTATTAATGGATAAGGTTATGGGGGTACAGTACTTTTATTGTTGTACTGAACAAAGTAAATGTGTTAAAAAAGATCAGCTCTGCAACAGCAAATGTTAGAGAAAAAAGCACACCATTCAAAACATAAATATGTTAGTTTTGATATTAATTATGTTTTCACAATATTTGTTAATGAGGTCTGAAGACAGAATCATATTTCTTTACAGAAAAATATTTTGCACTCCAACCAGAAGGACAGTGATGACTCAGACATCAAGCACTCACCATCAGGTTGTAAAGGAAACACCAGCTGACCTTAATCATGCTTGTGAAATGCAAAATTGGCATGCTCGTGCATGTAAACGGATTCATTTAAAAATGCTTAGATGAAGAAAGAAGAAAGAGAGAAACAGACAAAGAAACTTACAGAGAGAGAGAAACTCTGACAGCTGGAGAAACACTGACACAAAGAAACAGTAAAAAGCGTGAGCAAGAAGCCGACAGATGGAGAGATATTTGCGCAAAGAGGCAAGAAAAAAAAGGGCACAAAGGACAACAAAATAGTGGCACACAGGGTGAGTGAATAATAAATCATAAATCATGAGATCGAAACTTTAATGGAGTCAGGTGGGAAAATATAAAAAAATACACACACACAGGTAACCTGTTCAAGAATTGACATAGAGCAGGAAGATAACATTATTACTTTAGACTCTTTGACATATAAACGGTAAGACTATAATAAACATATAGTTAACTTTTATAAACTAAAAAACTACAAACTATAATTACGAATTCAATTATATGGATGAACTGGAATGTAATCAATGTAGTTTGCTGTTTAAAAAAAGCTAATCAGTTGATGCATGATGTGTTTGATGCGGTAATAGTGATATCACTTTTAATGTAAAAGAGAAAGTTCGCACTAGGCAGCTGCAAACTCGCGTCACAGTTGCCAAGGAGTGATGATGTGATGTAAATTAACATCAACCTCTCCAGGTTGAATAATTGCCACCACGCAAACCTTTCTACCACGCTGCGCTCCAACAGTTTGTCAGCTGCTGTACCACAGAAAATAAAACTTTACATTTGTTTTATGTTAACAACTCATACACCTCTCAGGTAAGACCTCCTATTTGGAAACTATACACAATCTTGTTTTTTTTCTACTCAGTGAATGACCCCCTTTATAAGAGACAAATGACATTGAAAAGGACAAAAGATTATCACAGGAAGTTGAAGAAGCAATGCGAGAATCTTGATACTACAGACTGTGATGCACTGTCAGCCACATGGAGTGGACATCAATGCCATGACTAAGTGCATGACTGACTTCATAGAGTTCTGTGTACATAACACCGTCCTTACAAGAACAGTGACAAACCATGGATCACCAGTAATCTAAAGGGACTGCTAAACAAGTCAAAAAGAGCCTTCAGGAAGGGGAAAAGGGAATTAATGAGGTTTTTATATCATGATCTCTGCAGTTTTGCTAGTCTAATTTCTCACAAGACTCACCTGCTCAGCTCCGCCACCTTCTCGTTACCTCTCGTGACCACTATCCACCTGCTCTATCAGTATATAACCCACCTTCAGACAAGACATCAGTGCCAGATTATTTCGAGCCATTGCTGAGATTTATTCCAGCATTCTGCTGCTGACTTCCTTCCTGCCTGACCTCTCTGTCTCCTCACACGCGAGCCTGCCTGACCTGTTCTGTTTCCCGATTATCTGAGCAAGCCTGACCGCTGTGTGCCTGCCTGTTACCAGACCTGGATGTGTACCCTGACTCTGCATCGGATTTCCCTCTGGATGCTCTATGGACCTTGGATCACCTAGCTCTGACCCTGGGGCTCATCTCTGGTGATGGTTCTGGAAATCCTGGACCTCTTGCAAGTCATGGTCATCACAGTTCTGATCCTCCGTCTGTCCCTTGACCACCGAGTACCAGCAAAAGCCCATTTCAGGGTACCGCTGATCAAAGCCGGGATCGTTGGCATGCCTATCAACCAGGTAGAGCCAGCGCTCACTGTTCCCACCAGACCCTGTGAGAAGGTTAGTGACCATTACTATCTTTCCATCGTGTAGAGTTCATTTTAATAATAATAATAAAAATTGAACTTTATTGATCTCACATTTGAGAAATGTATCTCTGCACCCATCTACTTGGGGAGCAGTGGGCTGCCATTGTGTAGCGTCTGCGGAGCAGTATGGGGTTAAAGGTCTTGCTCAGGGAGCCAGAGTGCAGGCTGTGGGGATCGAACCAGGTGTTCCAACCTTCTCAGTGCACAACCGCACTGCTTTAACCACTAGGCCAACACCCCCCTGCTCAGCTGCCGTCTCTGCTTCTAGGGGTTCAAAAATAATGCAACCATTTTTGGCATTTACTTAATCATATTTAGTTAATTTAACACAATTATTTCATGTTAGCAGGGTAGGAGGTAAAACAACTGTGTTAAAGTAACTAAATATGATTAAGTAAATGCCAAAAGCGCTGGCATTATTTTTTTCAGGTGTGCCAGACAGAGATGCTGATGACAACTCCATGACCTGCTGCAGTTTACTTTTCAATAAACTGTCTTTAAAAATCACTTGTTTGTTCCGGCTGAATTCCTTACTCTCTGATTGTAACAGTATACAGAAAGAAACTTAAGGTCAAGATAAGAAAGAACAAGGAGGAATACAAGATGAAGCTGGAAGAGCAAGCTCCAGCACAACAATATCAGAACTGTTTAGTCAGGGATAAAGAAGAAATAACTGAATAGCAAAATAACTGAATACATTATTTAATAGGTTAAATTAAGGAACAAGCCCAGCATCCAGTCACATGGACATCCCACCCTCCCTTGTCCCTCTCACACCTCAAATGTTTCATGTTTCACCTCTGCCATAGACCCCCCCGCTTCTATGCTGTTGGTCTCAGCCAAATCAAAAGATGGTGCTTTTCACTCCATCGTTCACCTGTCTGTCTAAATTGCAATAATCACCAGGTCGAGAGGGTGTCAGTCCCAAAGGCCTGTGCAGAGCTGCTCTGTGGTATTCTACAGCTTTTCTATACCCTTAGCCTGATCCAGGAGAAAGTTCCAGTACCGTTGAAGACCTCCTGCCTTGTTCCAGAACCAAAGAAAACCCAGCCTCTGTGACCTGACATCCCACAACATGGAGGTCCTAAAGAAGATAAGCTTCAGGTTCACCAACCTTCTGTTGATTCACCTGAACAAGCAAACAAAGAGCTATAAGGCCCCCCTGTAGTTTGCTTATTGCAGGGGAGCTGAAGTGGCCATCATACACTTGCTTCATTAACGCCACTGTCATTTAGACAAGTAGTTAGCACTGTTAGGCTCATGTTCTTTAATTCCTCCAGTGGTTTGGAGGAAGAATCAACTTGGCTTACTTTGTCAGAAACTACAGAAGACTCAGGTAGAAGCCTCAACAATTGCCTGGTTCAAAGACTACCTGACAAACAGACCACAGTTTGTTAGACTAAAGGGTCTAAGACTGAAATGTCTGATAAAGTAGTCAGTTGGGGCTGGATGTGACCCAAAGAGTCCCTTCAAGCTAATCCTGAATATGTGATTTCTGGAAGGGAAGATAATATTCTGATACTCGGGTTCATGTGAATCAGATATGGACAAAAAAACAAGTTGCTGCTTATTATCAATGAAAACCAACTGACCTGAAACTACAGTTATTCGTTATATGTAAGACACTGTGATTGGCAACAAAACTCCTTATTTGATTTAAAAAAAAAAAGTAACAAGGCCAATGAAACAAATTTCTTTTCTAAAAAAAACTTTTAGACTACAAAACACAGCCCCAATGGTCTGGCTGCCGATTCTACTAACCATCAATTCCCTAATCAGAAAACCTAATATTAGGTTTTAGAATTAAAAAGTCAAACCACTTTCAAACAGATGTTTACCTGTTTCTTATGTTTGAACGGTAAAGTTTCTGGGTCGGTATGTGTTAGCCAGACATAAATCTGAAGTTAAAATGGGTTTTGTATTTTTATATATTATAATTTTTTTGTTTGTTTTTGTTTTTTTGTTGTTTGAAGAAACCAACAAATTAGAAAATTAAGGCAACATTTCTATTTTTTTTTATCAGAAAAACACATTTTGGTATCATCTAAATTATTTGAAAAAAATAAATAAATAAAAGGAAAACGAAACCAGTAGGCTAGTTGACATTCCTAAAGTCTATACACTTTCAAGATTTGAAGGTTCTCTGAATAAATCATTCTGGGTTAATTTTTGACATACTGTAAGGACACAAAGCCTCTGTTACTGCTTCTGGCTTTAAGAGTAAAAATTAAAAACTGTATATTTTCTTTTTAAATGATATCCCTAATACACATTGTTTTTGCACTTGCATAAAATGTCTTACCATGTCTCATAATATTTCCAAGTATGTCAAACTAGTAAACAAAAATGTTTAATAGTTTTTTTCTGTCAATACAGCCAGAAAAAGCAATGAAGAATTAAAGTAAAAAAAAATTGTAGAATTAATAAACACCTTTTCTATTTTGTCAATTACTACATTTTATTTATACATACTGTTATTAACCAAAGTGTAGGCACCTAGTAGCCTTGTATCCAAATTCCCTTTTGGTGAAAGATATCTCATTTTGTAAAGTCACTGCATTAGTTTACCTCTTACACCTGATCCCACTCCCTGTAAGATTAAAGCTATCCACAACCCCTTATGCAAAAGGGACCTCTCAATCCTCCAATTCCTGCAAATGCTGTTAGGTTTGCACTGTGCAACAAGTGTGGGGCCAAATGAAAAACACCTACACACGCTGACACACTCACAGCCAGGGCCCCAGGGTTTGGCAACCAGCTGAGTGAGTGTTTTTAAGGTCATCACTTAAAAGATGATTCAGCCTAATCTCCTGATCCCCGTGGCCCTCTACTATCTCTCCTTTTTCCACAACCTCCCTTTCTATATCTTAGCCCCTTGGCGACCATCACCTCCTTTATCTATTTCCTATCCCTGGGCTTTGTTATTTCTGCATCCCTCTCACTCTCTCGCATCTCACAGTCCTCTCTTTCGCCTCCTCTGACTTCATTTCATTCTCGCTCCATATTCTCATTTTTAATCATCCCTTATCTATCGCTCACAGGCCGAGGGAGAAGAGGGGCAGAAAATAAAGAGTGTCGGGCACTCATGCCACACATTTTGATTGCTGCTTGCACTTTGGGTAAAAACCCTTCCTCATGTCACTCTTAGTCTGACCCATAATCTAAAACTTAAGATTCTCTTTGTGCTGTTCGCCTTTTCTGTAATGACACTTGACCTTCAATCAAAGGTAGATGCAACTGTTTGTGTACACCGGCATGACATGCAGTAGCATCCAAATCTAAGAAAGAAATATATGTGGAAACAAAAGTTTTATAATTTGAAATAAAAACTTGGACTTCATTCCGAGTTAATACCTATGCCTCAACACAGGCTGGGATGTAACAATGAATATATAATCAGTATTTGGTGGGAAATATGCAGAAACAACACACAACCAGATTCAACGTAGCAGAGCTTGGAGCAAACGCGTCAGCAAACATGTACGGTGCATTAGAGTAGACAAAATTAAGAACACCAACACGCTGGTACGAAGCTGGCAGGTAGTTAATGGACTGCTGACAGGAAATGAGAAGACGTGTGTTATAACATCCACTGCATTTGTTCCTGCTTTGAATTTAAATCAAGCAGCTTTAGAGTCACATTAACAGTGAATATATGGTAGTTGTTGGATGATTTGACGAATGTTATTTTTTTTTATCTGCTCCTTTAAGAAATGCTTGATGCCAATTATTTTTATGACTTATGACATTTATGGCAATCCTGGTAAATATTATTAGTCTATATTAAATTACAGTGACTTGATGTCATACAGAAAAAAAAAATCTATTTCAACAACATTTATTTAGTAAAGGACACATTTCCCCTTATGTGAAACAATTGTTTATTTATAAAATCTTTTCTAAGACTCAAGTAGGACTGGGTATCAAATTGAATTTAAAGAATAGATTTCATTCAAATTTTCAAGCTTAAGAAGTTTAGATCTAGTCTGATCTAAAACGTATTGTTTATATTAAAAACACTGTTTAATTGTTACTTGAATTACATGACTGTGTAATCATGCAACATATCGATACTAGTATTAAAAATCAACATTCAGCAGCAAATTATTCAAGTACGGTAGTTAATTGTGGCTGTTAGGACAGCGGAAAATTTATTTAAAAAAAGATTGATCATTGGTTATGTGACTCAAACTTTAGGAATAATTTGGGAATCCATGCAGAACTGGAAAATTCAAGCATCCCTACCCTCATGAAATAAAAAAAAAAGTGGAATTTAGTTTGTAATCCATGATCTTTTGTTTCCCTGGGGCTTAAATATAATGTGACACAAAGTTTTTTTTTTTTTTTTTTATATATATTACTTCAAAAACGGGAAAGACACAAGAAAGTATTATATTCTAGTAAGATCTATATGAGTTGTTCTTTAAAAGTCACCAATTGACTCTAATAATATGAGTTCTTACTAATAGGAACCCATATACATGGTCAGATGAAAAATAAAAATTAAAAAAATTAAACTCCAGCAGGGGCAAACACATTAAACAAAGATCCAATTTTTCTTGCAACTCAGTACACAGAGAATTATGCAGATGGTGGGGAGGAAAAATACAAATGTTACACTCAGAAACCATGCTTTCAGTTTCAGAGGCAGTTGCAATGAAAGCAAAATCAAATTCAAAAATAGAATGTGGGGGTGCTTTACTCAGGATAGCTTGTTGGGAAATGAAATGATAGAATAGCATTAAATAGCATACAAAAATATTTGGATTTAAGATTTTAAAGCCTAGTTTTACTTTTTAAAATCCTTTAAAAAACTATTACCCTCAATTTTTGCAGTTCTCTACAGAGTTGATAGTTCTGTACATTGGTTGCCTCTTCAGTTATAAAGACAAGGTCAAATTGAAAAGAATAGCTTTACCCCACAACATTCCCACAGTTGTAGGGGTACCAATTCTAAAATCATAGATCTATGCAGTGAAGAAATATCTAAATGCAGCACAGTATTCACTCATTGCATTGCTTCCTTACTGTCTTAGGGCCTGGAGATATGAAAAAAGGTGCAGCAGGGAAGTTCTTTCTGTTACTGAATGTGTGAAAGTGGTGGAAGTCTAAAGGATGGGGGCAAATTGTCTAAAGTTTATCCTTTCAGAATGGTAACACACATGACCCAACTCTCGCTTCTATCTGTAAACCTCAGCTGTCTGTAGAGGATGAGAGTTGGAAAAACACCAGGGACTCTCGTGGCTACCTGCTGTTTCCGTAGAAACACAGCCTGCATGGCAGCTCCACCTCAGCACAGCTGGAGGTTGGTGTGTGTGGGTGTGTGTATTTGTGTGTATGTGCTATTTCCTTTTCGAGTTGTGCTCACTCTGTTGCCCTTTCGGCTACGCTGCAGCAATTTCTTTTTATTTTAGAAGTCATGTCCGCAAAACGGGGCAAATGAGCTTCCACTAGTTTCATTTGGGATTACTGAGAGGGAGGAGAAATGGGAGACATTATTGAGAGACAGGAAGATAATATTTGGGTCAAAATCGGTCATTTCTGACAGAGAAATACCTTGACAGTTGTTGGGAATAAGTACGTGCAAACAAACAAACAAAAACACAGAACTTAGTCTTCTTCAAAAAATGTGATTTTAAAACCTTGTGACTGAATTTGTAAAGGTTTGAGCAAACATCAAGGATGTGGAATGTGAGTGCTGCAGAGAGAAGCCACTCTGATAGAATACCAATAGAGTGCAGCGCTTTGACTGACAAGCTCAGTTTACTCGATGTATAAGGTGTAAAGGTTGCTATGAAACTGCACATCATTACATACCTTTGTGTATATCTGCGCCCTGTATCCCCTTCCATTCAATGATTCAATTTGATTGCAAAAGCACTGGTCTGTTAGCAAAACGCTGATAGTGCCTAAGCTCATAGAGCATGCTTAGATCTAACGTCCATATTAGACACAATCAGCATTAAAAATACCGGGCTGAATGGAAAAAAAAACAGTCACAAATTTTATCTTCTAACTTGCTGCCACAATACAGCAATATATTGTAATGTAATTCATTAAGATTTAATGTGATGGATCAGAAGAAAGCAATAATTGCATTAAATGAGGTTAAAGTAGACTGAAACATTTTTGCACTACAAAATCGAAAAGCATTTGTATTGAGCTCTTCTTAATGCATAATTAACAGAAAACATCTTCAATTTCAATTACAATTACAGTTTCAAGAAAAAATAAATTATGTATTGATTTCCTTATAAATTACAGTTATGGACAATCTACAGCAATACAGCTTCCTCTGCAGTTTACACTACAGGTGAACAACCATAATTAATGGGTTCATATAGAGTCACAAATATTGAAAGAGACAAAACAAATATTGAAAGAGATGTTTAAAGTAGTGTAATGATTTAGATTTATGACTACTAAAAAACTAATTAGATCTCAGGCACAGGGGCTTTCTAATGTAGCAGTAAGGGATGTATAGAGAATTTAAACCAGACTGATTGACCTAATTTGACTGAACATAGTTATGTTTACAATTAACTTCACTTTTAAACTTAATATTTGTAGGGTTTACTGCTTCATCATTGCTTTTTCCATTCAGATATTTGTTAGTTTAAACACTGCTTTAGCAACACCTTCTCCATAACACAAAATCATCCAAATTACTTTTTCTTTTTGTCATTAATCTGATTCTCTGTCAAATTAGACTTTATTTAAGATTGCAAAAATCAAAGTAGGGTTTAAATATCTCTCATACTTATAATCTAAATAATCATATTTTGTCTATAAATAGGATACTTGTTACTTAGGTGGTAGTAAATGTGTAGGAAGACTGCTTGACTTTTTTCCTTCCTCCTTTAAAACCAAAGTATTTCACTTTTGTTTTGACTCAGGATGCATCAGGTCCACCTGCAGGGTTATCTGTGTAAAGTTTCGTAGTTTGTATCCAGTATAGAGTTATGCATGAAAAATGTCAGCGACTTATTTTTCCAGCTAAATGCTTGTTGATTAAAAAGTGTACACAAACCTGCAAATAGTGGAACGATCGTTCCTTCAGCTTGTTCTCTATGGGCACCAAGGCTTTATCATAACCTCCTCCTCTGGTGGTTGGATAAACCTCTCTGGCTTGACTCACTGTCATGGCTGACCAGGTGCTTCGCTTCAGGGAGTGACCGTGGTGCCCATGGTGACCACCACCCTCGCCACCTGCCAGGGCTATCGTGGTACATGCCATGCACTCTCCAGACCCCGGTCCCCCGCCACGGTCCTTTGGTTTCTTCATGGTTAGCTCTTGAATGGCAGCATCAAGACTCTCATGTCCAGTGGGATACCCCCGTCTTCCCCCACTGACCAAGAAACTGCTATCACTATCCAGGTTATCATCAGAGCTCCACCATCCAGCTGTTCTGCTGCGGTGGCGCCGTCCCGATTCGTGCCGAGAGTCTCCACTTTTGCTCCGCTCCCGAGACTTGCTTCTTCTGGTTGAGCGAGACTGGTGGCCTGAGTTGTGGAGATCCTCCCCTGCACTTCTGTGCCCCCCTCCTCTGTCACCTCGATACTCTGCACTTCCCCTCATGCCATTGTACTCCCGTTTGGTAGGTGCTTCAAGGGAATGGGACTTGGCAAAGAGGCGTTGCACTGAGTTGACCAAGTGGCGGATACGCGATGGGCTCTCGCTACGATGCTCAGCGCCTCCACTTGCAGAGCGCTGGTACTGTAGGGTATGGAAGCCATCTGGATGGAAGGGACCCTGCTTCTCAAACTGGTCTATTAAGTTCGGAGGAATGCGATGCATCTTCCCTCCATGGCCTGAAGACATGCATTCCTCACAAGAGTCAAACGACTGGAGTGGAGGATGCTGGCTGGGGTGTGAGCGAGGGAAGGTGCCAGAATGGCTATGGGAGTGTGAATGTGCATGTGAGTGAGAGTGGGAGTGATGCCTCTCCAGTGCCAATGCCTCAGTTGGACCACCCGAGTAATAGTGCCCATCGCTGCGACCTGGGTAGTAATCTCTGCCTGGGCCATCGCAGTCATCCGGCGCACAGTGGCATGGGCCTCCTCCGCCACCACCAGAGGAATGCTGAGACATGCTGCGGCTGACATGGTACCCTTTCATAGGCGCCGGGGCGTGGTGGGCCGTCCGGGCCGAAAGGGGGCGCTGTGGGCGTGACAGGGCTGCACTGGTCTCACCTGGAAGCAGAAGAGAAATACAAATTAGGCCTCACAATTGCATTGGGCATGTAAGTTACTATATTAACTTAAGTCCTGATAGTGTACAGTTTTTAGATATTTTCAGTTTTGACATATCAACAAAGGATACATTCGAGAGGATACATATATTACAGCTAGGATATTCTGACAGAGTAAAGGTAGAAATTTGTGTGTGAATGAAACTCAGTTTAATGAAATTATAAAATCTAACATTTATGACACAACAAAAAACTACGTTCTTTAAGAATGAGGTCATAACAAGCGCCTCAACTTGTTCATTTTGGGGTCAGACACTCTCTAGGCTCTGGTTGTTGATGTGGTATGTTCTGTCATTGCAACCTGGAAAGTGGTTTGGCTTTATTTACCTTAATGAGTTGGAAAAATAGTTTTAACATGCTTTTGGGTGGGATAATATAATTCAAAATGTCATCTATGAGTCAGATAATTATGATTCTACTTAAATATTAAGTTTTCTTTTGGAGCAACAGAGTCCTCTCCACATTCCAGTGGATAAGTTCCCGTTAAAGCCCCCTAAAGCCAGCCAGACTCTCAGGGATTTCATGATTTCCTGTTTATAGTGGCTGAAAGTCAATACAAAGTGTCTTTTAGGTTAAAAATTGATGCTAATAGCTCTGCCGAAGCATTTAAGGCTTGCATGTAGTGTCTGTCTCCCAGAAAAACCTCTGGATAAGCTTTTCTGAATGGTTGACACAGTGCATTTAGCTGCAAAAGGTCCAATTTCTGAACCCAGAGTGGAACGCTGGGACGTCCCGATGCTTGGATGCTCTGATGCTTGGATGTCTGCAGCCCCAGCGGCTTGCAGGCAACAGAACCTCTCTACGCAGGTTGATGCCATCCACTATAGACATTAGATGTCAGTCATCTGGGTATCAGATGCTGTGAAGCCCTGAACGCTTTTGGTGTGAAAGCACCATTAGAACAACAACTACTAGGTGGATGACTTTGACTATTATTGTCCTAAAGAGGGTCAGGAATACAGGCCTAATACAGTGAAGCTGTAACATGTCTGAATCTAGTCCTCACCAAGAAGAGATTTGATACAGAAAAACTGCACAAATCTGCAATAAGAGGTCTACTTGCAATTTTGTCCTCATTTTAATGTCCTGTATTCTGACCAAAGTTTTTTCATGTAATACGTGAATCTAGATATTACTTTTTTTTTTTTTTTGAGAATATTAAGTCATCTGCTGCAACATCATTTTTTTCTCTGAGCTAAAATTGCCTTGAGACTTTATCGCCTTCTTTTATTTTTCTCAGCAAGTAAAACCATAATTGCACTCGTTACAGGGGTATTCAGAAGATTTTCTATTTCATAACATCAGATAAAAAAGCAAATTTCAAAAAAAGGAACTTCGTTTCATCTTTGTAACAAAAGCGTCACTTCATGTTCAAATCCAAAACAAACAATGCTGGTGTAAACATTAATTTATCAGCCAGTTAATAGGCAAGAGCAGACAGCTTTATTTTTCACATTCATCTTATGCTCTATGCTGATAAATCAAAAATAAAACCTCTTTTACTTTCTTGGTCCCTTCATTCTGTTTTGCTGTTATTCCGGTCCCTCTCTATCATATCTAATTAGACATTATGGCCTTTCCTGTTGCCTGTCTTTTCCATCTTAAGGAAATCTCTGTCTGGTGTTGTCATTTGCAGCCAAGATGTGTTTATCGATCACTTGCATCTGATACACAAGTGATGAAAGAGTGGCAGCGTGGGTGATTTCACTTGCTCCTCCAAATGATGATGTGCTGAGTTGCAACATTAACATTGTAACAAAGGGAAGTGAACACAACAATGGGGGAAAAAAACAATGATATTTCCCCCATAGCGCCAAAAAATATGTGCATTTCTAAAAATGAGTTTTTTTTATATTTTCTTGATGTGCATTGAAATTGTAAAGTGTTCGATATAACCAATTCCGAAAATCTATATTGATTTATAGTAAAAAAAAAGTCTTTTCACACTTGAGTAGATTAAATTTTTCCTTTTTTCCCCAAATGTTTCACAAATAATGATAATGTGATGATGGAAATTTATATCTACTTAAAGGCATAGTCTACGATCTTTTATTTCCGGGTAGATTATCTAAATAAGTGGTTTTCCTAAATGTCAATCATTCTGGTGATTTGTTTACATGAGGCCATCCTACGTGATCACCCCGTTAGCTATCCTTTTTCTGGGCATGCACACTTCCAGGCATATATCTGTGGTGAGCTATGGTTTCAGACAGTCATTAAAGCTCACCACTCTCACCACGGCTCTTTGAAAATGGCTGAGGGTCATAAGAGGAAAAATGTCTACGTGGTGTATAAGAAGAAAAGAGAAAGGCCTCAGAAGAGGCAGATATATCGTGGAATGCTTCTGGTGGAGAGCTCTCCTCGCAAAGCATGATCAGGGTTTATACAGGAATGAATAACTGTAATTTAATGCTTTTTAATGCTCTTTTAATGCTCTAAGAAATAATTTTATTGCCACCAAAAAGTACCAGTCGACAGGCTGCAGCCATGCCCCGAATTCCTCGTTTTCCAACCACTTTAGTTGAAATTGGCATTCTGCCCCATTCTCTAGCTTTTTCTCTTCTTTTCCGAACATACGTCTTTGCGATCAACCGGAAGCAGTTCCATGCAAATATATCGTGATATAATACTGTATGTCTGACGAAATTGTATTTATGAACCTTTTTTTTTAAAGAAAGCATTTAAAATGCCACAATAAACACATTTAATTAATATAATTTCAATTAAGGCCTTAATTTAAAAAATATGATTTTTAATGACCAGCGGAAACCCTGATAATGGCATTTACTGTCGCCATAGAGTGCCGCTACCCGACAGCAGCAACTAATAACAATGATGGCACAGGAATTACATAGTATACCAATAGGGAAGTGATCATCTGTCCAAAAGGTAAGTTGACTGAGTTTACCATGAAGTCCACTATATAGTCCCCGCTCTATATAGTGATTATTTAGGGGTTAGGGCGGACGTTTGGACACAGTAAGCTTGTATGAGCTATGACAACAGCAACTTTTAAACAGAGTGTGCACGAGGAGCAAAGGGCTGATGCATGCTCTTTCACATGCATTTTTTTTTAAATTGGATAGGGCAGGTCTTTTAAAAAATTCAAGAAAATTCTCTACAATACCTTTAATCAATCTTTTCTATACAAAACCATAACATGCTGTGTTTCTTTTAGGATTTTTTTTTTTCATGTTCAATAACCTTAATGATTTTATTTGGGAAAGAGAGGACAGTGTTGGGGTGTAACAAGGTTCCTTGCCATGACATTAAGTAATTGATCAGCAATAATAATGGCAGCAATTTGGAAGAAAAACAGATAGAAATTTGTTATGAAATTACATTGACTTTTAACGATACCGATAATTACATCTAATTATACAGCTTTAGACTTATTTACACCTTCAGCCGTAAGCTTATAGAGGTAAGACTGAGATTTTCAAGTGCAAGTGAAATCACCTAGGCAACATAAAGTGCCTGGATGGTGAGAAAATAAAAGATATTTGTCTTTTTATGGCGTGTATATAAAAACCGGGTCTCTATTTTATTTTGTTTTTTGCCTTTGCTGTTTTCTTCAACAGATTCTGTTAATTTTTAGTAAGTGTTGGGTTCATTTATTGAATTTTTACTACCTAAAATGTACGGTATTAAGGACTGAATTATTTAATCAGCTGGAACTTTAGAAACAACAGACTGAAAGCTTTGAAATTGTTTAATATTATATATTGTTATATTTTATGTTTATTGGAGAGTTTCACTTCAGTTAAGAAGAATTAAGTCCTGTTTGGACTCCAAGGCCACAACACGTCTAAGAGAGTGACAATGTGCAATCATGCACATTGTCATAGATGAATAACGAATAGTTCAGTAGGTAAAATGGACGTACAGAGAAGTTCAAACCCCATCGACACATCATTTCTCTGCAAATCTCACAATTCTAAACTTCCACCATAAAACAGGTGAATCCAAACAAAGCCCCAAATTGACATACACTCTAGGATTTACCCTTATTTGAGACAGCAAAATTGACATATAGACCAGCCCACTGGTTCACTGGTCCAAGAACATGAATAGAGGTAGATGTAAGACACCAGTTTGGCTGGTTAGCCTACAGTTGGGGCTACTTCTACAAGAATTACTGTACAAAGCAGGCAGTTTCTCTATTGAAAATGAGCCAGAACCACAGGTGTAAATGCAGTGTTCCAGGCTGCCAGAGAAAGGAGAACCTCTTCTCAGTCTTTCCAAGGAAGGCATGGATTATTTTTGTATATCAGAAGATTCTTGCAAAATTTCTTGCAAAGTTTGATGCTCAGTGGTTCTTTTGCTCTAAGCATTTTACCAAAGACAGCTTTCAAAATCTTGGACAGTTCAGCTGGGTCGCTGACTGGACCGGACCGGGCATTCAAACCGAGCCGTCAGCTCCAGGGCTGATCCGGGAGTGGTGGCAGGGAGCCAGCCGGGGACGGAGCGGCTGAACCCGACCCGGTGACGGTATGCTTCGCCCTACCTCCCTTACCGTGCTTCCCACAGAGCCGCCGGTGTCCTGGCTACCGTCACCGGTTCGGGTTTTTCTCCCATCCGATGGGGTTCCCAGACCAGCCCTGGAGCTGACAGCTCAGTTTGACGTGCTGCACTGTAGTCGACCAAAATCCGAGTATGCAATTCCCCCCAGTCATTTTGTTAGGTATGAAATGTAGGACATGTCCAGGAAAAAGAAGACATCTGGTTACCCTACCATATCAACAATTTGATGTTTCAGTGAGTGCTTGTTGTTATGAAGTGCACAGCTCATCTAAATATTCATGAGCATACCAAAAAAGGAGGGGCGTTTAACCAGGCTTGCTTTAGGGTTCATAGAACAGCAAATATGCCATTTCGGGCCCAACCACTGTTACACACCCTATTCAGAGACCTTAAGGACCAGCACCAAATACCCTATAT